AGAGGCTCTAATAGGTGTGTGTTGAGGTTCGAGAAGGCTGTGTCGGCAATAGCGAAGCTAAATTTAAACACGTTTTCGACTTGAACGTCTGGACTCTCATGGATAAAGCCAGATGACATAAATTCTGAAATTCGTTGAGGATTCTGGAAGGAATTGATCAATGGCTTCCGAAATAATTACCAGGATACATATCATCAGTCATCAAGATGGATACTATGACTTGACTTATGAGGTACCTACTACCTACAAGGCTACAAGACAACTATAACTGTAGCCGTACAATGTACTCGTGTTGGAATGTCACAACCCGATTTGGGCGTTTCCCGCCTGTGGATATTGCTCGAAACGGTAATCAAAATCATAAGAACACATAAGTCAGTACGAACGAAACTCGCAATCCTCTGAATGATTCATCGTAATTTCACAAAGGAGAAACAACCAAACAGGACACATAATCCAGATTCCAGACAATTCAGATCCATTCAATGGAGGAGCTTAGTAACAAGTTAGATAATATAACCCGTCACTGTCAGACAAACTACGAACCAAGCCTCAAAATAATTTCTGATCTCTTTACGGTAAGATACCGCTGCTTCCGATATTCCCAAAGAGGGTGTGACATACCTAGTACCTGAGGTCAAAGGTCGTGTGACCATCTATTTGGATTTTGGAAGGACAAAGAATTAGTGAGGCCGCTGTTGTTGTTATTGTTGTTGTCCTTATTGCCATCAAGGGAAACCCCGATTGAAAACGTTATTGAAGAGGCGACAGAACTTGGTTTGGCCCAGCCTCTTGTTTTCTTTATCATCCAGTAGATCATGGCAATGAATGGTAAAATCACATCAAATCATTTGATATGGTATGATATAAAGTTACACGTATACATGTTACTTATTACACTGTCTAAACCAGTGACATGCTTTTCCATTACTGCACGCAACTGTCTAGCTTGCCTCCAGAGGTAACTCGCAAGGTGCTCAGTTCTTAATTTAGTTTGTAGGACATTCCGATGTTGCTTTCAACCCTTATCACGTTCGACAAAGGGGGCGATTCGTCGTAATGATGCGGAAAAGTCACCCCATTGCTCAGCATATGAAGCACCAGACAACATCTTGGTAATACGGATGGATTGGCCTCTGTGATTGTTGCATCCCTAGGTAGGTTGTAATGTTTTCAATATTTACGGACGTCTCCGCTCACACTTCTTGCATTCACTTCGCCGTTCTGATGAGACCGATTCAAGACTGGTGAGAAGATGGGATCTTTGCATCAAGACCAGATGGATCCATTCTTTCCAACCATAATGGAATCGACATGACTCTCCACGCGAATCAGCAGACTCGAAAAATCCACAGTATATTGCTTGCTAAACCCTCTCGTTTGAAGATCCTCTGGTTCACCCACTGGGAATTCATTGATCGTGAAACTCGCGCTTATGTCCTGCTGTCAGGTTACCTCGTTACCTCGTTACTTACTCCATAATTCGGATGTTTGATGCATCGCATATCAATTGATACACGTACGCTCCTTGTTTCCCCAGCCGTCCTGTATTCGAGATATGTTTCTGGGCGGTACCTCTTCCACATTATTCGCAGGAAAGTTAAAGATCTTATTGCATGGTGAAGCACGGCTACGCTACCCTGAGTATGTGTGTGAGCATGTAGGGATGTCACAAGTATATTAATACACATCATTCTTGTCGTCGTGGGGTAATCTGATGGGTCGTACAGGGCGAGTAGCTGGGGATGCTTTTTTGTTCCTTCAACTGCAGAATGGCCCTGTTGTTTGGGTGACTTGATTTATGTCTGTCTATTACCTACCTACTCTCTACTATGATTATCGAGTCTTCGAATGGTAAAAGACAAATTGTTTCATTTGAGAATCTAGACACACAACTCAACTCTCTATCCGTACCTAGCTATCGACAGAGTAAATACACTCTGTCCTTGAGATTGACAGCGTCATTCAATTTGTTATCCTTTGTATTTTGTGGGAAAAGGCACATCTTCATTTAACCTACCTATCATGAAAGATTAAGTCATTTCCCTGCACCCTCACATGCCTTCCCATTCCAGACGTGCCGATTCGCACATCGAGCGCCCTGTGCAGTGTGCAGTGTGCAGTGCTTGTTCCTCAAGAGTACTGCACGCAATGAATTACCGTTTGCTTCACGAGACGTATGATCGACGACCCTTTCCGCCGATGTCTCCATATCTCACTAGTCACCTACTCACTAGGGAAGCTGTCGTTCATTGGAAATGTCATGTCATGCCATGCCATTCAAAAACCCCCCGAAACTCTCCCTCAGATATAGTATGATCTACTTGATAGACGCATGTTTCTTTTGATATTTCTTCCGCGAAACAGCGATCCACACTGGAAATCTCGCATACGGTGATGCTTCATCAGCTTTCGGATGAGAGCATGCTGAAAAGGGAGTCCAATGATTGGATTTTCATTTGGGATTGAAACATTTAATTTGTGTGAAATACCACATGGTCTGAAACAAGTGGGCGGTAATTATGTGATGAAGGATCTTTATTACATGTCTTGGGGATTTATTCGCTGGACGGGAGTCATTGGATAGATACATACTAGGTACCTAGGTATCTCGATGAATGCCCAGGTACATGATGATATTCATAGTTCATAGCTAAATGATGTATTATGATATCAACAGAGAAAGCCGAGCAAGTCCAGCTTCTTATCTCCATTCGAATACATATGTGCTGTGATGAAATGGAAAACTTAAAATTCGCAGCTTTCATATATCATTACTGAATGCCCCCATTTTGGAACGTCATAAAGCTCTCAATTCAGCTCAGATAGAAAATTCCACCATTCAACAATTTGGTATCCCGAGGTCATTCATTATCTTTATCCTTATCATTATCGCTATCACGCATTGCTTATCGCCCCCACAGAATAAATGTAGGTATGTTAACTTTATGGATTCCCACTGCTTCAACCCCCTCCACCCCCTTTACCCCCTCCCCCCCCAGTAAACACGCGACTTTTTCACTACTGTATTATCCCCATCGCGTCGCATCGCATCACATCACATCACATCATCCTTTTCTAGTCTGTCCCAGTGTTCCTCATCTACCCCACACATTGCGCCAATAGCGGCATATGGATACCGCTTCCAGAATACAAAATCCAGAGAAAGAGATGAAGGTAACATTGGATGATTGGAGAGATGGATGGAAGTAGCATTGGACGATTGGAGAGGATGATAAAAGTAGGACGGTACCTGTCATCACGATAATCTCAAGCCTTCTTTATGAGGGAGAAAGCAGCGGTGAGGGGCACTCGAGTGTGAAGATGATGAAAATTTCTTCTTGAAAGAATCCTTCAAGATGAGAACGTTGGGTACGAGAAAAGCAATATAGACTGACACTGTACACACACATATGTCTCGGAGGACGGTCTCTGCTGAGTCTATCCTTACCCCCCTCCCCCATACCAGACCGCGGAGCTATCACTGACAGAGTCCTACCCGACTCTCGCCGTACAGATCAAAATCCCACCGTCGATATCTTCTGATACCTACTGGACCATACATCTCATCGTCAGAGTAGCCCCCGACCAAGCCATACATATCTCTTCGTGGATCTGTACCTCCTCTCCATATATAACATTAACACCATCAAATAATCGTACTGATCCCTATCTACCGGTACCCCTTCAGAGTCCACCATAGCTTTATCGACACACTTGAAGCTCCAAAATGGGTCTAGATAGCAATCTTCACTGTCACTCGTCCCATACATATGTACCTATCTAGCATGCATAATGCATCACGGGAAACTAAGGATATGTACATGCCGTGCCTCCAACGTGAGAGTGAGGCCCCTGGGTAGGACGGACATGATTTACCATACTTTGTTTAGTCTGAAAAGTGTATGCAGCTACGAATGATTAACAAATATGCTTTGGAAATGAACCGTGGCTGGAATTTGTTTTTCGATTCTTTGAAACTTTGCTCTTTTCGTGAATTTTGAATGGATCAATTGAATTGTATTGTATGAAACTGATCATGAATCAAACATTCATTCAAGTAATGATTATTGAGTGGAGTTGATCGATTCACACCCACCGCCCACCGCCCACCGCCCACCATCTTTGATCGTTTTTGCTAAGTGGGGGGTGTATCCAACACTCAGGTCAAACCCAAAACCAAAATGTGAATGTGAATGTGATCAAACTTCATCAAAAGTCGGTCGTCTTGGTCTCTAACCATTCACGAGAGAGAGAGAGAGAGAGAGAGAGAGAGAGAGAGAGAGGAAGGCCATTCCATTCATTCCTTCGCAATTGATTATATCTTCACCGCCATCATAAAATAATAATAATAATAATAAAAGGTGATTGATTGCTTACCTTATTCCTCATTTTCCCTTATGCTCACTGCCAAATCCGGAACATTATCAACAAAACACAGAACACGTTCCGCGTACCTACATGCGACTTATCCCATATCGTGGTTCTCTCTCTCCAAAAGTCCAAACCTCTTTGCCGAAAATCCCCGTTTACTAACTGCATGAAGCCTTCGCCCACAGAGCTTTTCCTGATTATTACAACATAAGCCTGCATCTTGCATGAACAGCCTGAATTCATCCATACGATTTACGAACCAAGAGTTTTGGCCTGAGGGATTCCAGCAGGACGAGGACGGGTGCGAAGTCAAAATCTCCATATTGACGAATCAGATTCTCAAATTCATCCTCGACCCTTCCACCCTTCGACCCTTCCACCCTCGTGCATAAAGAACGGAACGTGCGATTCCTAGCAAGTAGACTTGGGAGTCTAGGGGGTCGATCTTTGCCAGCGCGCATCCACGCATTGCCTAAGTCCTTACCATCCATATCCATCCAAGATTACGAAAGAAGCTCGCGAGAGTTCACCGCTATCTCTCATCGACCTCGGGGCTGATTATTTTTTCAATACTGTATCGAGGGAGAAAAGAGGAATTCATCTAGAAGGATTCCCAACGTGATAAAATGGAAGGCAAACCACGAGTTAAGGTGGTATTGTTGGATATCGGTGAGTGATGAAAATTTTTCACTCGGGGTTTTACGGTTCCTATTTGTTCCTGTTCCTGCTTTTCTACACATCACCCGTCCGCAGAGTTTTCTCGGGAATGGAATCTTCGAATTACAATGAATCACGTGGGTGAGATTGGAAAATGGTGGTCAAGTAAGCTTGGGGAGGAAATGAATATGTGATGGAAAAGGCTGATGGATTCATTCTTCTTCTGCAGAGGGCACGGTGTGTCCGATTTCTTTCGTCAAGGATATCTTGGTAGGTTGACAATTTCCTTACTATTCCTACTGGTCAATCTTTCAGTAGTCTATGCATTAAGTCATGAGTCGCATATTCTTTCCCTTCTCTCTTGCGATGCGCTTTACGCGAAATAGGTCGTAGTTACCTTGTTGGTCTAGTTACCAGTCAAATTCAACGGTTCCGATTGCGATGATCAATCACTGTCTCGATGATACACAACTGCGGAAAACTGTTGTACTACGTAAGCTCCGGCATACCAATATCTTGGGGGCAGGAAATTGATTTGTGCATAGTCATGTGAGACTTGTGATGAGCTGTCGTGTTACCAGTGCTCTGTCTTTCAATGCTTCTACCCCGCTATCATTGGTTGGGATGGCAACGGAGAGGATCGTCATTATTTGCAACATTGACGTTAAACCAGAGTGTAGTGGTGGAAGAAGAGAGAAGAGATAGGTGAATTGAATCGCAAGTGTGATGGCATCTACGTTGGGGAGAGAATCGAGTGACACTAATGCAAATGGTCGTCTGCCACGTTCGAAACGAATGTGTATGGTCAATCCGACGTACAGATCAGCGCTCATATCATTTGCGGGGAAGAGCCAAACTCCTATAGGTTCCTATCTATGTACGATGGGTTGGTTGCACCGTGTCCCATCAATAATCTCACTCCATAGCATCAGCGTTCTGTTTCGTTTTGTTTTACTGCAAAGCAAGCTCCCAGCCCCCCTGAATCCGGAGTCCCACTCATGTACATGATACTGGCTTTACCCCGCCATTAGCATGCCGGTACCCGATACATTTGAAACATGTACTTCTATGTATCAATGCGTTTGTCGGATTAGCTCATCTGGAAGGAAACTTCCCACATCACCTTTTGCCACGAATTTGGACAGCAATGCTCAGTTACTGACCTCCCCATCAGTTCCCATACGCTCTCGCAGCTCTACCAGAAACACTCTCCACTCAATGGGACTCTCCATCCTTCCTCCCTTATCGCTCTGCCTTCCCGCCTGAACACGCCTCGACCCCTGACGCACTCCTTTCTCATGTCCGCGATCTCATGGCTCAGGATCTTAAGATCCCATACCTTAAATCTCTTCAAGGATATCTCTGGCTTCGTGGTTATGAATCGGGCGAATTAAAGTGCCCACTTTTCCCAGATGTATACCCAACGATGAAGAAGTGGAGAGAAAATGGGGCGAAGATTTGTATTTATAGTAGTGGGAGCGTGGCAGCGCAGAAGTTGTTGTGGAGATACACGACTGAAGGGGACTTGAGGAGTTGCATTTGGAATGGGCTCGAAGGAGATGATGGGAGAGAGCTTGAAGGCGGATATTGGGATACCGTTAATGCGGGGCTGAAACAGGATATGGCGAGTTATGAGAATATTGCCAAGGCAAACAATGCGTTGGGTGCGGTGGGTGAGTGGTTGTTCTTGAGCGATAACATCAAGGAGGTGAGAGCCGCAAAGGAAGCTGGAATGAAGAGTTTCGTGGTGATTAGAGAGGGGAACGCGGAGGTTACTGCGGAAGGGAAGGAGGGTCAAGTTCTTGTGGACAGCTTTGCAGAGGTTGAGAAGTGGGTTGAAGTTACTGCTGAACAAGCATGATGGCGACGGTGATGGTAATCGCAACCGATCATCGATTATGTATCATGGAACAAACGTCTTTCTATCAGAATCTCTTTCATTCATGCCATTGATTGTTACCAACTTCCTGCTTGTCCTTCCGTGCGTAGTGTCTATATCGTATTTTGAACTCCATTTCCCATTCACCATCCTGCAATTTCGAGTATGCTCAATGAATGCTTCACTTTTATCAAATACATCTGATGGTCACTCATCATCATAAATCCATCACACATCATAAACCATCTCTTCCCATTCCTCATTCCCCATCCCCCAGCCTTCCACACCCCCTCAAATCACCACCGCACTCATAGATCCGCAAACAGAACACTCAGATCCGGACAATCTTTTCATATCCGGAAGCAGTGAGAACATTGAATCTATTCCACATGTAAAGAGTTGCATGGTGCACATATTCGATATGCACAGAATGTTGTGTATAGATAAACCAATGGTTTGAAAGAATGTCGCTCTTTCTGATAGATGATATCAAAGTACCGAGTGTATCGTATGGATGGTTAGACTGTTGTTTTGAAGTATGGAGAATTGGGTGGATTATTTGGGTGTGTTTTGCCTGCCTGCCTGCCTGTCTATCTCAGGGGTATCTTTTTCTTCGATTACTGTGCCGCGTTCTGCGTTCTGCCTTCTTTGTTTTTTGTGCTTTGTTCTTTTCTTGCTTGTTGGATTGAGAAGAGTGGGAAGCGTAGCTCGCTCTGGTTTTGATTGTGTGGTGGTAGATAGTGTGAGTTGAGATGCGGGATGCATGTTGTGTAGGAGTAGAGTAATGGAGAGCTTGTGTAGTGATAGATAGTAAGGATTTCGGTGATGGAGTATATCCTCTATGAATGGAGTAGTGTAGGAATTGCGTTGAGATTGAGATTGAGATTGAGATCGAAACGGAAGCTCGGGTTCGAATGGTAGAATTGCGAATTGTTGTTGAGGGGTGGAGCGAGGTTAGGATACTGGAAATTGGGGAGTAGAGGGGTCGTGGTAAGGGATTAGAGATTTCGTGGGATGTAGGATGAGTATGTATGTATAGAGTTTTAGTAGGGAGAGTGGTGGAGGTTGCATAATTTGATGATTGAGGTATGGTAAGGATATCGATTCAAGCGAAATGTCTCTAAGAGATAGAAAGCAAGCATAGCATGGTGGTAGGATGGTGTCCTGGCTTGGAGGTGGGCGAGCTCGATGGGTAAGGGTCCCTGAGGTATCGATGTCATCGTATTCCAGTCGTGTGCCGACTTTCGATGGTAAGGTGTTTCCTGTAGGAACATGACATGTTCGGAATTTGGCTCTTGTAGAGGCTCGAAGTCGATGGGATGGAGAGGTTGGAATGGAATATAGATGGATGATCTTTCAGAAGGCAATCAGGTACTTACTCCCGGCGGATGATTCATCTAGACATATTGTCAAAGTATTTTAGTCAAGGAAACTCTGGCTCTAGTAACACTCATGGGGACCGGCAACAGCGGAACAGTTGCCGTCTCTTCATTTTCTTCGTTGCTATGGCTATCTCTCCATTCCTCTTTGACATCATCCCTCTGCCCTCCGCGGCATCGATTGAGAGACGTTACAGGAGCAATAAAAGCCTGGCCTTCTCGTGTGCTATAATCCTCGGTTGTTTTCTCCTTGAGCTTAGGAATGACTCGACGATTGCTGAGAACTCCTCTAAAAAAGGTCAACGCATCAAATACATTAGTAAAAGCACAAAGATTGATAATTTACAATGATGAAGAAAATCTGGTCATCAAGTTCAACAATATTAACAGGTGAAATGTTGATAGGGGATGACAGTGTGCACTGCAAATATCAGGCACAAGGATGTAATTGACTAACATATCTTTGTGAAATATACTGTGTAATCTAGCCTGGCACATCCATAACGATGCCCTGTTCATTTTTATACACTGTGGACAGAATCTACAATGAAGAGCTCAAGCTACTATGCAGCCATTACAAATATCCTCATCTCAAATACCCACACCTATACTTCCACGCCATCGGTACTTTGTCGGTATTCTGCTGAAGGCTTTTATCTCGACCTTCGTAATACACGAATAATGACATTGGAGCCTGTTTTCTGCTGCTAAATTTGAATTAGCTGATGTTGCAAAACTCACTTTAGGGCCCATATATTCAAGATGGTAATCGGATAATTCTACCAATCGGCGATTCTTCTCATTGACATTTTCTCCTTTTCGGTTACAGTTTCAAACTTAACAGACGTGTTCACTGACTTCACAAACGTTAACCCGTGAAAGAGTTTTAATGAATACAATTTCGTAATTCTGGTCGACCTGATAAGATGGTACAATCAGTTCGCCGTAGTCGCATAAACTCAATACTATGGCAGCTTTAGGTGTATGATTAACGGTAGACGATGCAGAGATGATTATGAAAAAGCGAAAGCAATGAAATCTCTCCTGTGGGTTTCAACACAACTTTCCATAAACTCAAATACACAAGTGGGGATATTCGATTCGCACATTCCAAAGGCAGCGGTGGATGGTTCGATGAAGTCTCATCCGTCCACATTGAGTCTATGAGTTTTAATCTCTTATACTGGGCTGTATGCTTGGCTTTGCGTGCTACGCTGGGCACAATGAATGCTTAATATAGGGATTTGAAAGACCCTGTGCTAAAATGATTCGCTAGTTTCACATCCAAACGGTGGTAGTTACAGCTGTATTTACAAATCTGTGCTTGCTCTCTATATGATGAATATCTTTGCTCGAGTAGCTGTGGGGTATTTGAGCAGATACAGACGATGAGTTGTCGGTATCGTGAATAGGATATCTTGATACCCGGGTGACATTCCAACAATAATTGTGTTTAGATTTGCGAATGTACCAGAGATACCTACGCTACGATAAATGCTGGATTCGTCTAGAATATTGGTGATATTCAGAGTATTAGAATCATTGGAAACTTCAAGAGGAAAGAAAGCAGAGTCGACCTCTCGGGTCCATAATGCAGCCCGGACCATTGAATAATCCCCGCAGACGAGCTACGTCTGGGAGACAGCGATCATTATAGGTTCCTTCCTTAATATTGAATCGGTCATCGCACGGAAAGAAACTTTAAAAATAATTTGCAGAACACAAGATATGTTTCTACGAAGGTCCACGTGAGACATGCAGGATTCTTCTCATATCGAAAATTGGCCTAGCAATTTGCGGGGTCAAAATTAAAAATGGAAGCAAACGAACGAAAAGAACGAATCCTTTTCTTAACAACCCTTCAGGAGATCGTAAATTAGATAAAGTGACATGTGCGACTGGAGAAGGGGAGCGCATTAGCGTATGGGGGGCCGCGAGCTGTGGTTGCATTGCGGTTAGGCTGTATGGGTATTTAGGAAGGTCGTGGCTGGGCATGAGTGGGACCTCACGGTAGAGGATGTGAACATTTAGAATGGTAAATGTGGAAGTAGAGATCCGAGATAATGGTTCGAGTAGATGAAGCGTGAGTGGATACGAATACAAGCATAAGTGAGAATGTCAAAGACAGGTTTGAACTTGTGGACATGTACCGAATCAAAAAGTTGAAAGCACAAGTCAACAGAACTAGAGAAGATGAAAAGAGGAAAGTGAATGAGGAAGACAGAGTGGTCCGTGTTCTGCCTATCTTATACACGGACAGAAACTATTGCTATACGCACAGACTAACGGCGGTCCGTACCGTAGCGCGGGAGCTAAACAAGCGAGATTTTAAGGAGGACGGGATTCGATTCAATTAAAGCTGATACGTTGTGTGAATTTAACGCGGTTATTATCTGTCATTTCCTCGGAGTATAATTGCACGACCATCAAATACCGAAAGAGGCCTGCACATTAGCGCGTTGAACTTGCTCCGTCTTCTTCGGATGGCATCATATTCCTACTTGGAAATGATAAGACCAATCGAAATCATGGAAATGTTTAAGTTGGGACCTTATACTGGCAACTTATATTGATATTTGAAGTGCTTTGCAAATGGCATACAATTAACAACAAGTCAAATACATCTCAAGAAGAGCACTCACTGGCTTTTAATCTTCTTAAGTCAGCATTCATCAAAACTTACTCAAAGAATCAATTACTCAGACGGCTTACAGTTTAGATTCTCAGGTATACCGAACATCGAACCACAATAGCGTTGTCTAGGGACATGGGGGGCAGCGAGGGTCTCAAACCAAAATATGCAGCCCCACCAAGAAAGAAACATCGTGACTGGCTGATAGTGAGAAATGACGCGAAGAAAATTTTCTCGAAATGCGATCCACTATATCTTTAAAATGGGATTCTGTGTATGAGATGATACATACAAATGTTCACACAAGCATTGAGCTTGAAGAAAAGCTGGGGCTGTAACTTGAATTGACGATCTGCGGCGCAGAATTAATTTCAGTGGCGCAACATTTTTACATGGATATTATGTATTTCCAGGAGCGTTGCGTGTGACAAGCCGGAATGCCTCGCCCGACATGTAAACATAAATTGAGCCTTGATACCAGTTGGTATGGCGAATTATCGTCATAATCACTGGAATTCTACGCCACATCCAAGATCCAGGAGAGAAGGTAAGACCGTAAAATGTCGGTCAACAGAGTCTATACCGCATCTTATGCACCTGCTCAAATCAAGAAGGCTCTTTGGTAAGGTGTCATAGCCGTCAGGCAGCAGTAGATGCGATGGAGCTGGTGTAATAATTAACTTTTGCTAATCAAGTACATCTAGGTCTGACTAACGTGGTATCACACATGAATTTTTTCGGCAGGTCGTATACCTGTATAGCTAGTTTGATCAACCACAGCGCTTTCTTGAGCGGCTTTAGTGGGGATATCATGCAGACGTGGCGTTCTGAACGTGTTACACAGATTCTAAATTCTTGTGCGACGTTTCGATGTCCCCGTTCATGCAGTCTGATTTCAGAGCAGAAAGATTGCAAGCACTAGTGCTACGTGACCTAGATTTTTGGGCCGCCGATATTGGAAAGTCCTTGAATTGTGACTTCATTAATCCACCATGATTGATATTAGAATAACAAGTGTGGAAAATGTCTCTGGAGTTTGAATAGCTTGTGTCTCGAATTTTAAGATCGAGCATTATTGTGCTTACAATAATGTTATCCTCCGTCCTGACTGTAGTACGAACCCAGCTGAGTAACAGTTCTACTTTGATCGCTAAAGTAAATGGTTCCATAGCTTATCCATGCTCTCGCCTATTACCCATGTGTATGACACGCTCCAAATCTGCAGCAGGTCCATGCTAGTGTCATCCTTTTCATGCCCAATGTGTCGGATATAGTATTTTGAAGATTTTGCGTAATACAAACACGGAGCTATATTTGTTATTCTTGTTATCTTTGACTTGATGAGAGAAAGTTGAAGAAATTAAACCCTCGTCACTACGGAGGGAGAGTCTTTATGGCACCCTCAGTGGACTTTCAGTAGGAATGAATGAAGTCAATGTTTAAATACCCTTGTCTTGTAGACCAGTCCATTTACTTAAGCGTCCTTCCAAACGTCGCGGTACTTTGCCCATTCCTTAAAACCTGAAAAGTCAGTCGCTTTCCAGGTATGTGAATAATAGTGACACTCACCTAGTTCTTTTAGTTCGTCTACATCATTTGCTACGCCGTCATAGAACATTCTCCTCATACCTTGCTGGTATAATTTTTTGATACAAGCATCAAGTAATTCCGGGCCTATTGGCTCATTTCTCTGTGCTTCGGACCAATTAGCATCAAAAGATTTATTGTAGTGAAGCAGTTTAGATCACTTACGAGAAATACATATGCATGTGACTCCACCAACATCATGGCCAATCCGCCCTGCCCAAGGTAGATTAGAAGATATGGAGCTGCCACAGAATGGGGTGTATGTGAGCGCCGTTGCAATGATCTGATCTCCTTCCAGGCATATGATAATGTCTTTCACGTTGGGTCCGTTCATTAGAGCGAAGTATTGATCGAACCATCCCATATTACCTTGTTTGATAGATGCTTCCTCGACCAAACGAAGCACCTCGACCATATCATCTTGTACACTTTGCCGATACTTAAATTTTTCTTGCCGTTGATTTTGCTGGTATTTCCATTTGGTAAAGTCCAGAACCAGATCATACACGCGTTGTCCCTGGCCTCGTAACTCCTTGTTGAGTGTCCAGCCTCTCCGGCGAAACCACTCATCATTCGCAGTCAATTCTGCGGATGAAGAAAGAGGTGGCCCGTACAACAGCCTTGGAAAAATACTCCCCAGGTGAAGACGAATAACGCCTCGTGTGCTTCTGAACTGTGCAATAGCATGATTGTGAAGACTGAGACCAATCCCCCGTTGTCGATAGGTCTTTCCTACGACAATAATAGCTAGTGATGCGATGAGTCTTTCGCCTTCTTGATCAACGTATGAAAGATATGTAGCACAGAAACCTAAAACTTCGCTGGTTCTTGGGTCTCGGACTACATAATGTTTTGCATAACCTGGGCGACGAAGTAGAGACACGAAAGCCTCAACGTCAATGGAGAACCGGACATCAAAATTGTCACTCCAGAGCTTGAGAACACTCGGTACATCTCTAGATTCATTCCAATGGTCAACGGCCCAAAGCTTGGGTCGAGCTGCCTCCATCATACCGGACGCGGAACTAGTTATTCCTATATTAGGACTGGATTCCCGCTCCCCAAAGATCACTGCAGCTGCGGCTTCCATATCTTCTGGTGTATATCCGGAGGTTAAGATGACTGTAGGGAACGGAATCGAATCTTGCTTATTTACTTGATCACTGCATACCATAATGAGGCTAAAATATGCCCATAAATTAGTAGTTGTTCAAGAGAGAGATCTCCAAGAGGATTAAGAGCTAACAGTATGTGGGAACATGTAGGAAATACTAGGAAAGCCTTCAATCAAATTACAACTTCCAGAAAATTGACATGAAATACTGGGTGAAGCATACCAGGGCTTGTGATCGCTGACTGCAAAGAGGACTTCTGCGATTTCGAATTGATGCTGATGTTCAGGATGATCCACGAAACAAAGTATGATGACATGGCTTCTTTTTATGAAACCTAAATGAGTTGAAGTGATGCCGTTTCTATGCCGGTTAGCATTGACCTTGCCAATTCGGATATTCCAATTACCTTCGTGTATAGGGGATATGCCGGATTTTGGCGTGTCTCTTGGCCAGAGCCCGTCCCAAACACTCAAAGGGATCACTGTTGTCTGTAATGTCTTGACTGATCGGCACTACAATTGGAGTTAGAAGTACCAGGACGTCTGATTCGTGAAGCGATCGTATCTTCGACAAGAAATTCGCCGAATCTCTCAATACCGTAGCTGAGGTATTTCCTTGATCTGATTGATCTTCTGATATTTCTGATGAGGCAGAGATAAAATCTTCGTCGGTGTCGCTACATACAGTTAGATCGCCCACTGCAGCTACGTTATAATCTAAAGTGAAGGTGTATACATTGATTCTGTAATATTTCCTGATGCCGCAAGTGAGGACGACATAGCGTAGCTGAGACCTGTTTTGAAATCAACATTTTGACCTTTCATTAGCGTTTCACAACTACCTCGAGTTTCCAAGATTGTGACGGCCAAAGGCTAGAGAAGAAGATATAGGAAGGCGTGTACCGACAGCTTGGTTGCTCAGCGTTTCTATGGCTTGCTTGATCACATCCCTAATCTTCGGTTATTTCCCTGTAAGGTGATAACATAGTATTAAAATTGTTCAGAGATCAGGTAATAGACGAAAGTCCACTTTTACACAAGTACACAAATACACCGTTCTCTTTGACTCTGACCGAATTAGAATGCCGCCAATGCGAAAATGGTGTGGGTTCCATACCCTGCCGCCTGTTAAGAAGAGATAAACTAGTCGATCGAGCGTAGAAACGAGATATCATAGGATGAAGACGAGTTGGTGTGACCCCCCTCCCCTCCATAAACCTTGCAGGCGGCGCACGAACCGGGTCATCCGCGTACTGGGCTGAAGAGCAAAACCACACTACAAATGAAAGGTTGATTCATTGGGGGGCCCAAAACGAGATCTTTTGTTACCAATGAGGCAATACACGGTGCATCTCTTAATACTATGGAAGCTTTGGAACGACTATCAACATTTACCAATTTGTCTGGCAGAGGGAATAGTAGCCGCAACCACAAGAATTAATGCGATGTACCAAAACTACCACTGTTAACAATAATCCGAAGATGTTGTAAATGCTTCAATAACCAAAATCTGTTGGAAGATTCCAAAATTCTTCTCCCGTAATTCAAGCCATATTTCTCCCGGCTGTTGAACTGCCGAAGAGCGTTCGAGTTGCTCTTCGTCTTGTATTTCGCAGGTATAAAAATTTCGGCAGCTTAGACTCAGGGCATGCTTAGTGTGTGATCAGGGCTTGTGCCTGCATTGCATGTCAAGTAGGGTAAACTAAGACCAGGGAGGTCAGCCAATTTTGTACATGCATTCAATCCTTCCATCCTAGCTTCCAGCTGGAACATGAAGATGAATGCTAAGACGAAAATCCGATGCTTAGTTCAACGCCATGTTCTCGCCCAAATCGACGATTGACTGACTGAATTTCATAAAATTGTTCGCATACCCAAAGCAGATGCATAGCCAAGCCTGATAAGACGAAGAGTTTTTCATGGGCTATGTATAGATCTGGCGTCTATACATCACATTTTCTAGCAGGATGCCGTACAATGCGGGAATTCAAGAATAGCAAACGAGGTCCAGGGCTGCACTACCAGCGCAGCAAGTCGACACTCAGGAGCCCTTCTGCTCACAAGTAGAAATTCGTAATGCATCTGCATTAGAAAAAGAAGTGCTAGGGGGTGAGTTGCTTCCACCTGCTTCTCGCGGGCATTCCAAAGGAGAAAACCTGTACACCAACACATGCTTGTCATTCACTCCACCGCTCCCTTGCACCAGAACGGGATTGCAGATTTCAAACAATCGACTGCCAAAGGGTGCATTCATCTGCTGGCACGCATTTCATGCGTGGCTCCGTCAATTCTGTTCCCTCGGAGACCGGCAGGGGTTGTTGTTTTACTACACCCAGATAAAGCCTTCTTGAGTATATGGTGTAATTTCCCAGCGAAGGGATATGACTTCACAATCAATGCAATGTAATAACAACAGCATACACCGAGAGCTTAAAGCCCGAAGACTGTATGGGTATGGCAGAGAAGTCTCGCCCAGTATCAAAGGATGTCGTATGAATTGTAATCATAGCTAGATTGGGATAAGATTTGCCTAGAAGTACAGGCTCAACGGCCCAACTACCAATGACATTGGTGTCTCTGAGGTAGGACAGGAGACATTTCCAATCATTCGATGCGGAAGATCTATTTGAATGTTGACATTCATATATATGGGTAAAAGAAGCGTAGGATGCGAATGGGTGATAATTTCGAGGTTAAGGCGGTCACTGAGGAACGCGAAAGGAGTCGTCAGGGATATGCCATCTATTGGGTTTCGCGCATATTTTATGGTTACACAGGAACTAAAGACGAAACGATGAGGGCGATTTTGAATATACCTAGATACTGTAGGTGGTTGGATTTATGGATTTGGATTCTTTCTATTGCTCCAGATGATCGAAATATATATATGTAGAAATATTTTGGAATGCCTGCATAGTCAACACCCAATGGGAAGTACCAAGTATCCATCTACATACATATACATCGAGTAATGCTAATCCTGTATTTACGTACTACTTTCCTTCCCAGCTCTATTATTTGCACAAATATAATCTCTCGGAATGATGATGATGATGTAGAATAGTGATCTTTATGCTAGACATGTAGGAATATTTTGTATATAATAAACACTCGAGGGGAAGTGTCGAGTATTTATATATACGGCATAAACTACCAATTACTATTCTATCTGTACTCGGTTCTACTCGTAACGTTCTTGATTGACTGAATATGATTGATAAGAAGGATATCAATAAGTATGTAGAATAGTGAGTTAAATGCGAAATGCATGTATATTCAAATAGATAAATTTGGAAGGATAATGATAATATTTATTCGAAAAGAAATTTTGAGATAGCAATGTAAGTAGGTAAGTCGGGTAATGTTCATCCCTTCTTTGATTCCCTTCCAAGAAGCAAGAACATCAAAAATACACACACAACATTTGGACTTCTAAAGTCCGACAATAAAGATTTCCGAACAATCTTAAGACTATACCTAAATCGTGCCAATTCAGATATTCATAAGCTATGGAGAGTCCTTCTGGTATCGAATATGATATTGATGTTGATGATATTCTTGATGATCTGGAAAACGGTGAGATCCAAACGCGTCTTACGCGACCACAACCATTACCTACCATAGATTTCTGATAACGAAGAAAAATACTGACAGTCAATATAGCATCACGTATTTCTGCCAAGCAACGGTCGGTAAAAGTTTCAAGCCACGTGGATAGACTATGCTCGAGAGCGTATGGAGAAGGGTTGTCTAATGCGTCGCTGGAAAAGCTTATCGACATCCTCACTCTGCCCAACGAGCTCGATCAAGGGAGTGTTGGGAACTTGATCAAGCATCTTTATCCAGCGAGCAAAGTTCCAGATGCAGTAGTCATCAAAGTAGTAGGAGCTCTGGGTCATGGAAAAGCCAAACCCTCTTATGCAGCTCAGGCCGCATTGTTGAAATGGATAGTCCTAGTCTATGATGTTTTGGAGAATCCAAAGATTTTGTCACAACTTTATGCTGTACTTTTCAATTTGCTTGATACTATTGCTCTCAGGTACTGTCTATCTATACCTAGATTTCTAAACTATGGCATCGCAAGCTAACATTCGCAAGGTCACAGTTGTGTCACGTGCTGTCCATCATCACTCGCCGAAAACACGTTCGACCATTTAGGATACAGGCATTGTATGTTAGAGCAAGACGTTGTACAAAGCTCTGCTGATTTTCTTTCAGAATGCAATGGACAAGAAAAGCGGGCCACGATCCAGCTCTGGTAGGACTTATGAGGGTATACAAAGATTACTATCCCGAGGTCATCGTAGGTGATGTGACTTCCGGGAGGGCTTCAGTGTTTATGGTTAGTTCTCACCAAATTTCTATTCACAACGCATGTTCTAATATTATTAGCATCCAAATCGTGAGTGGCGAGAAAGGCTCGGCATAATCCAAGAAGATCATCTTCAGAAGATGGAGGATAAGCTTGTTTCCACTCATCAAAATTTCCGTATATCCCGAAAGACCACCAAAGAGAGAAAGCACGGGTTTTTACCTGGAGTACATACATCGTATGCCCAAGATGTAAGTGCTCGTTTCAAAGCTCACGATCAGTGCTAACCAGTGTCAAGACTTCAATCACACTTGAGGAAGTAGGAGATGTGAATGAGTTTGTTCAAAAGCTTGAGAAGATCGAGCTCCCGAATCAATTAGTGGCTAGTATTCATGACCCTTTGCTTCAGAAGTTTCTACATCTCAGGTCTTCGGAGACTACGCTGCAACGCATAGATTATTGGCTTCTGGCTTTTTTCGACGACCATTTAGAAAATGGTCGGTCCTCTGAGACACAGATAGCAGATATGCTCGAACTTATACTACAATACACTAGATACACCAAGGTCGGTTGGATCAAAAAGATATTGCTTCGCTCTACTGACACATATTAGATACTGCCTCCGGCATGCTTCTCGTATTTGGAATCTCTGCTACCTTGTTGGAACGGCATCACAAACCGTGATGTAATTTTAGAGTTGTTAAGCTATACTCCCATTGGTTCCTTTGACGGTATGCCACAAATCGCACAATATGTTCAAGACTAACCAGGAAGTAGACCTCTACCAAAATATATTCTCTCTAGTTGAAGATGCAGTTATAGATGGTACCCACGAGTCGCAGCTTGCTCTCCTCAAATTCTACAAAGCTTTGCTCAGCCAGTGGAATCTCAACATACTCTCGGAGACTTCATCTTCAGCAAACTATGGTGCAGACCTAGTCGCGCTGGTAAATCACGCCAATCAGCTGGCTGTTATAATTCTACAACAATCTTCGAGTGTTTCCACTTACTCAGATATTCTTGAGTTTTATGAGGCGAATGCATTCCTCATATCTCACCCAGCTATAACATCTAAAGTCCGAATAGCTATTCCCCCGCCTCAAATTGTTTACACACTCTTCTTCAGCTCCAATTTATCGATCATCTCCCGCATTTGCAACATCCTGGCCCTCTACAAGAAATCTCTTGAGATGGCTATGGCCTCACGCACGGGTTCGAATGTACCTGGCAATCAGTCATATCCCAAGGAATATGTCAATCGCTTCAATGGTTTTCTAATGGATATCTGCAATTGTTTGTGGAGATCACGGGCTTTCCTTACAGCAGATGTGAATGCGCTTGGCTGTTTACTTCCAGAGCAGACGATGGGAGTTTTGGCTGTTTACGTTGGCAAACTAGAAAAATCGCTTTCACTCAGCTCCCTATTCAGTATCTCGTACTCGCCAGCAACATGTCATCTTGCCATTACATATGTGAGGGAATTAGAGGACCAAGCCGAAGATAAAATTGACGTAAGACACGCTGGACCAGTCACACAAGTTTCTTTGAAAAAGCTCCAAGAAGACGGTGGGTTGTCTGTATCGTGGCAAGACTATAGATTGGGTGTCTTGAGATATCTGGAGCGTAAAGGTTTCCCTGGGGCTGGAGAATTGATGTACAACACTATGAAGCATCTCATGGCTGCCAGACAAAACTCCGCATAGTACCCACCAAGAAGAATACAATGCACGTTTTACAACAACCTCTAGAGTACCAGCATGAAGACATACATGGCAACTTCTCAAACAAAATATCTATTCAAATTCCATGCCCGCCTCATGATTAAGTATTACAACAATGCTAGGTGTATGTTCGTCCGCTCTATCCCATCGCAATCATTAACTCCCGTATAAAAACAAAATAAATTCAGTCGTCACCGCCGCGTTTTCTCATTTCTCACATCCCATCGTTGATACTAGTACATGGCCCCCAGTACATGCGTTTCATGCGTGAAAGTCCAGAATCATAATTCCTTCCCAGCTCCAACCGCGACAGCTTTTGCAATGGTTTCCTTGGCCACTGCTTCTATGACCGGACTCGCAGATGTAAGGGCAGACTTGGCGGACTCGTCTCCATTGTAGTAGAACCAGGCGCGGTTGGTAAGAAATGTGATATGCTGTGGGAGATAAAGTGTCATGGCAATAATGATCATGCTAAAGAAGAGAAAGAGGAACGAATCTGCAGATCAAAATGTTAGCCACACGTGCATTTTAACTGAAGACTCGAGAAGAGGATGGACAAATGCAACCAATGGAGGAAGAATAAGAGGCTGCTGGCCGAGAGGTTAAGAGACATACTAAATATAAATTTCTCTGTGGGTGTCAACATGTACAATGAGAATGTGACCTGCTCAAATGTGTCAGAATCTGTTATGTTTGGATTTTGACGAGCGCAAATACCTCATATTGATATCTCTTCCTCTGCAGCCATCGAAATGTAGATGCGAACATAGACATTGTTACCCCTTATCGTTGTGAGATTTGTACAATTGACTCTGTTTCTTGTAGTTTGACCGTGTATTTCTTCGAGTCCGTTTAACAGTGAGAATAGCTGCGACTTCAAAGTCTTGTTCAATTGATGATTCAAAGAGGGGAATTCAACTGTACACAAAGAAAACTACGATGTGAAGATGAATATGAGAGAAATTGAGGTTAAGGGAATGGAAGAAGTGGAACGATGCACCAATGGAAGCGGAACTTTTTGTTTCGAGTATCCGTACGGAGCAAGTACCTGAATATCAAATTTCCGGGGTGGACGATAAGCTCACCAAATCACTATGCTAATCAATGCGATGGAATTACGATACAAGAAATAATCTACAACTACGACAACTTATTTCATGGCAATCAGTAGGTTGTCAACATGTACAATGCTACGAGGATTACTTTCAATAGTTTCCAGAAGTATGGGCCTTGAAAATGTTACTGCTGTGAATTCAAACTCAATCATTAAACGTAACATTTGCAACACAACGCCATTATGGAAGAAAAAGATGCCCGACCGTCCAGCGCCCATTGATGAAGCAGATTTCACTGAAGTATTTTTGCATGGCAGTGGGCCGGGAGGTCAGAAGATCGTAAGCCCATCTGCCATCTGCCATTGAATCTGAAGTCGAGAACTATAGCTCACCATTCCATAGAATAAAACCTCTTCCGCAGTGCAGTTGAAACATATCCCAACAGGTATGGTCCTCAAAGTTCAAGCCACCCGTTCTCGTACACAGAATCGTAAAATTGCACGACAAATGCTAGCAGAAAGGCTTGAGTTGTTGGAGAAGGGGAAGGAGAGCAGGGTTGCGATTGTAGGGGAGACCAAAAAGAAGAGGAAAAGCAGTGCTGTGAAGAAAAGTAAGAGAAAATATCGACTGCTGGCAGAAGAGAAAGCTATGAAAGCAGGTGAGGACAAGGCCGAGGAGGATGAGGTCGAGGATGACGAGGTCGAGGATGACGAGGTCGAGGAGGAGGGATTTGAGAAGGCGGATCTTGATGGCGAAAAAATCCTGGAAAATGTGGAACTTCCAATGCAAGAGTCACCGAGCAAAGGGAGTGGTCCTTGATGTTGAGAATATCCTCTCAGAAATCTTGTCTTCACCAACATCGAAGAAGCTTTCTCGGGTGTTCGTGTAAAACCGTTCGACTATCGATGGTGGACATGTATATCCGCATATATTGTTGCTATATCCGCTCCCCCCTTATGCATTGGAGGTGGTGTATTTATCTACATTGACTGCAGGTCTAGCACTCAACTCGATTAGATTCAAACCTTCAGCTCAATCCAAGCATTCAACTCGCCTTAGGTGTTCATTCATAGAATTCAGTATAACACTTTCAATGCAGCTTTAATCTTTACAAGAGACAATAATTGTGATGGCAAGCTCAAGACTTTACGAGATCAACTCCTCCACTCAACTCAATGTCTTCTCTTCAGGCGCACTCAACTCCTCGCCAGCCTTAATATTTTTACATTTTTGGGGTGGATCCTCTAGCACCTATGCTCCTCTCATCAATCTACTCTGCTCCAACTACTACTGCCTAGCTCTTGATTTCCGAGGCTGGGGTTCCTCTACCGGCCCACAAGATCCAGATGCGTATCACATCACGGATCTCTCCAACGATATCTTCACTCTCATTCCCAAGCTTCTCCAACAAAATCACTCATTCATTCTTATCAGCCACTCAATGGGCGGAAAGGTTGCTATGCATCTCTCTTCTACCATTGAATCACTTTCTCCTGCCAAATCTTTTCCAAGACTCCAAGCCCTCATACTTCTTGCGCCTGCTCCTCCCACGCCTCTGATTCTTCCTGAGGAAATGACAAAGCAGCAGTTGATAGCCTATGACAGCATTGAAGCTGCTACTTCCGTCGTTGCTCACGTTCTATCCTCTTCACCTCTTGCTGAACATGTGGTCAGCACTTTAGCTACGAATGCGCTAGCTGGCAACCAGTATGCGAAAGCAGCATGGCCGAAATATGGGATGCAAGAGAATATATTGGAGAAGACGAGGGGCATCGCTTTGCCTACGTTGATTTTCGCTGGTGGGAATGATAGGGTTGAAATGGTAGAAAGAGTGAAGGAAACATTGCGTACCCTGAGTGGGGTGGCAGAGGAAAGAAAGTCGTTAGTAGTCTTCGATGGAATTGGACACTTGATGATGTTGGAAGCTCCGGATATACTGAGTCGTAAGATTGAAAAATTTGTCGACGAAATTGCGCACGTGGTTGGTTAAATTAAGGATTAGAAACAAACCTGCTGTTCAACATAGTGCTATACTGCAATTGTCGGGGGGTGTAGTGAATGAGTAGTAGAAATTAAAGTATATATGCTATCGAAAAAGATACAATTTAGCGTCAAATATCTATTATCTCTTCATTAGGGAAATTACTGAAGAGACAGCAGCTATTGTAAATGCTTCTCAAAGTTTTTGCTATTTATATAGAGTATTATAAGAGAGATTGTGCTATAGCCGGCAATGATCCACATAAGCTTTGCGCCTTTCCCATATGAAACTTCCGTACTAGCAGCATGTTCTTGATTCCTTGTTCCAGTAAAGGCAAAACTCCCTATTTGCGCCTTGGTGACATCCTACCCAACCCACTTGCCCCCATACACCATTCTTCGCATCTGTTAGTAATACATACAATCTAATCAGACGCAGAATCAAACTCCGATTCCGCCACCTCTCTCAGCAATGCAAAGTCAAACTTTCCGTCTACTTTCGCGATCATTCCTTCTCGGATGAGCTGTAACTCTAAGGGTGCAAGATCTTGGTCGGAATTCTGACTCATAACTGAAAGTACAAGACCTTGGTTTGTATCTCGTAAAGTCGAAACATAGGCCAGTAAGCCATCGAGAGTGAAACTAGAAATTGCAGCGATGGACACGTCTCGCAAATTATGTAATTTTGATAAATAGGGCAAGATCTCATCTCCAATACCATAACCTGAGAAGTGAAACTTTTCGAGAAGTGGCAGGCTTGTTGCGAGACGTTTGATTTCGTTACTACTGAAATATTCAAACGATTCCATGATGGTAAGTTCCTTGAGTTTAGTGAGTTGACATATGGATGTGAGAAGGTTATCAATGTCATCTCTGACTCTAAATACCTCGTCCGAACCACCTCGAAGTTCAAGGACCTCGAGTTCAGTCTGGTGTGAGATCGCTCTATGAAATTCTGTATCATTGACAAGAGAAGGGCCAGTAACTACCAACCGTTGCAGTCGGATATCGTTTCGTAGACAAACCTGCTTTAAAACGGCTGGGGCACAAACGATTCTGTTTAGAACCAGTTCTCGGAGCTTCTCGCAGCGCCCCAACCATTCGATGACTTCAAGAAATACATCGTTCTCTGTAGCTTCCAAGTCCACAATATGTTGACTATCCTCTAGATCGAGTATCTCAAGCGCAGTACATCTTTGAAGAATGTTGAGGTTCTTGATGGCTTCTGAATTAAGGCTCTGTAGCCTCAAGCTCTTCAGTGATTCGGAATGATGGTTTAGAGCGGTCAGAAAAGAAGGACCAATCCTACAGTTAGACAAAACCTCGAGTGAAAGAAGACTGTTCTGTCTGAGGCCTTTTATGAATGATGCAGGATTGTGATCGGTATCATCTGAACACACGAATATACGGATCTCGTCAAAGTTGAGACAGCTTTTCGAGATCACCGTCGCAACGTTCTCATTCAGTGACTTCCCGTCCCAAATCGTCATGGATTTCAGTCTTGATAAGCGTCCCGCCCATATTGGTAATGCAACTGATGTGATATCCCCTGAAAGATTCTCTAAAGCAACCGTTGTCTGGTTTTCATCCGCGCGCTCGCTGACATATCTTGTGATAGATTCTCCTATCAGATTGAGAATATTTGTAGTATTGAGTCGTACTTGCGGACCTCTTTTTGATCGCCTTCTGGGTGTCCCATCTACACTTAGAAACTCTGCCATCTCATCAGCAAAGAAGTTATCCATTGCAGCCATTCGGAAGGTGCTATCCTCGAGAAGATTCGATAGATTGGTTAGATCGAGCGATCGTATATATAGACAGTATGGATAGGCAGTAGTCCCTAGACTAGAGCGTACAATAGATTGCCATAATTTTGCCCACTTCGAAGCCGCGCTGTATTTAGAATTGCGCTTTTGGATTTTTGCCCACTCAGGAGCCTCTCCTTCACTGCTAATAATCCTCAAGTATTCATTATGTGTCCTTCAAGGATCAGCTAAGAGCTTGGTATCGGAAATAGACTTCTGGGCAAGATACCTACCTATATAGCCATTGCAACGCCGAGCCAACCAATTGCTTTCCGGAGATAGCACAATTGAAAAGAACTCCAAACTCTAGTTGAGTGGCTAACTCTTCGCATATCTGAAGAAGTATGTCTCCTGGTAAGTTCATGCTCCTCTGCTCGTTAGGTATAATTTGGCGTGCTGGACTAGAGATGGTATCTTTGGGGTTTGCCTCGATTTCGAGCTTCACAGACATTATATCGCAGCACTGAACGGTGGCCAATTCCTCCGGGTAGACAGACGATGGTTAAGATTTTAATTTATTATGATTTTGATTAGTGCCTTGGAATATATTGACATGGAAAATGATGAATAGGAGTTAATAAGTGCGTGTAAAGTAAGTTTTTATTGTAGATGCTTGCTTATCCTTATGCATTTGTGCTTGTGATGATGGATGAAGACGCGGGGCAAATCGCGTAATTAGCCAGGACGCGACAGATAACACGTGATGTCGACTTTTGGGAAGATCCAGTTCAATTCAATTAACATTACACTTCACTTCTAGTCTATACTAGATATCACAATATAATCGAGAGGCAATTCACATTTACCATACCTAGTATTCTTCAGAGATTGAATTCATGTAATATTCGTCATGGCGATCCTGACTTTCACACTCAATCCAGATGCTTTGGGGAGATTTCATGATGCACTCGTTTGTCTTGGGAAATTCAGCGAAACAGTATCGATCGAAGCTACTCACAGTAGGGTGAGTTCAGATATTTAATTGTTGTATGTAATTGCTAATGTTGTTTGCAGCTTATCTTGACAACGCTCAATTCAACAAAGTCCGCTTATGCTTCCTTTATGTTGGTGGGAAATAAGTTCTTCTCTAAGTATCAATATACGCCACTTCGTAGTGGTCGCAAAACACCAGAAAAATTTACTTGCAGAATTTACAACAAAGTATGTCTTCAGTTTGTACGATATCAAGGTTTTTGGTTGATTGTTTGATAGGCTCTACTCGCGGTTTTCAAGGGTCGCATCGGAGGTGATGCCTTTAAGGAAAAGGATACTGCCATAGAAAAGTGTGATGTTTCGATTGAGGATGGAGATGGGGCACTAAAAAGCCGTTTTATCGTGAAGATTCTATGCACACATGGTAAATCAAGAATCCTAATGATGAGACCTCTTTTTGCTAACCAACGCACCACAATTAGGGGTCTTGAAGATTTACCGACTGAATTTTGAAGCTGTTCCTCCCCTGCATGCCTTATTTTCAAGTGAAGCAGTTAACAATAGCTGGTCGATCTCTTCCAGAACACTGCGCGAGTTTGCAGAGCATTTTGGACCAGGCACTGAACAACTCGATATTTTCTCAATTGATGGACGCGTGAGCCTCACCAGTTTCACAGAAAAGATTATGTCCGGGAATGGCAAGTTTCATCTCGATCCCAAAGATCGTTCCAATCACTGACTTTTCTGTAGAAGTTCTGAAGCAGCCTTTGCGCACCACAATAGCCGTAGAAACTTTGGAGTTCGTCGAGTTCACTGTTGAAGAGCAGTTGCACATTGTCATCAGCGTCAAAGACTTTAAATCAATTATTGCGCATGCCGGGATAAACAACACGAATATCAGAGCTCTATACTCTAACCCTTCTAGTCCAATGCAGCTTACCTATAGTGAGGGCGGAATGCAGTGTGAATTTATCCTCATGACAACTGGTGAAGCGAGGGCGACGTCGGCAACGCCAGCCACAAACGGAAGTAGAGCAGTTTCAAAGAAACCGGCTATGAGGCAGCCTCTAGAGGCCGCATCGAGTCTGAAGAGAACTAGATCAGGCTCCGAGATGGCTGCATCGGTTGGTCCAAACCCAAGTTTGGTTCGAGAAAACACAAGGAGAAAGGTCTCTAGACCTTCGCCACCACCCCCACAACCTAGCATCCAATCACCAGCTCTATTTATGCCGGCGAACGATGACGATCGTAGATGGGACCCTGTTGATTATGAGGATGAGGACAACGAAATGTTATTGTGGGATGTGACTGTGGACGTAAGTTTGGTTAAGATCCGCCAAGACTACCTCTAACACTTGACAGGAACCGTCAGCTGGTGACCCAAGTCGTAGATTGCAAGAGACTCAAAACAAGAGTAATCCCGAAGACTCAATTCCACCCAACGAAAAGTACATGACCGTACCGACACAGCGTGTAGCGCCAACTCAACGATTATCACAAGTAAGTGGCTCAATCTTACAGTCGAGTAGTTTGTTAACAGCATTAGCTTCGCGGCTTATTTGACGAGTGATCTCTTGGATCGATTCTTATGAAGAAGAGGTTTAGATGGGGCACAAGTCGGAGTCTAGCCTAGGCATGATTCCACGATATATGGCGTGCGTTTCCATGCTCACATGTGCATTACCAGGGTACAATAGAATTTGGCGTCGGAATCAACAGCCCGAGAAGTACAAGCAGGTAGATTGTTGAGATAACAATTTGCCCATCTTATTTCGGCTATCATGAATTTAGGCAGATCCAGCTGGTAGCGCAGCCAGTGCCAATATATGAGATATTTGCTCCCGGCGGCAAGTATTTAGAGGATGCCACCACATTCCAGGTGTCTTTCACATCTCCGTCTTTCGTTTTTGGTCCGCAGTTCCCGTGTTCACCCCATCCCCATGCACAAACTTCGCCTTCCACCGTGAGTGCTAGGCCATGCTCACTGCCAATTGCAATCTGACTCGCGAGCGGTAATCGTAATGGGGCTAACTGGCCATGGTCATTTCTTCCCCAGCACAAAAGAGCTTTGTTTTCTTGTAGAATTAGGATACTTCCCCATGTGCTGCCAACATCAATCCAACCCATTATTTCCTCTGGTGCTGAAGATCTAATGTTCCATTTATCAGACCCTAAAATTTTATGTTGGCCACTTGAGGACTCCGCCAAAAGATATGTGAACTCCCTTCCGCATACAGCTCTAACCACATTGAAGTTAAGACCTTCAATCTTGCGAGGACCATGCACAATACCGACAGGTTCACCAATTTGTCCTTTTCGGCCACTTCCCCAACCATAAACGTCCCCATTACTTAAAACAGCCACTACATGACTGACAGAAGCAGCAAGGTCAACGACTTGCAAACCAGTTGGTGGAAATTTCTCAATCATCTGAGGTTTGGATGATCGAAACAGAAATTCTCCCAGACCCAGTTCCCCTCTATTTCCTGTCCCAAAAGAATACATCTTCGTCGCATGACCATCTTCATCCTGCTGGACAATGATCGACGCTTCCCAAGTTGCTGCACACAAAACTACTGGTGCTTCATTAATTGTGGGATCATCCGAGAGTTTCACACGTCGAAATCTTGAATAGGAAGAGTGCGAGTCGGGATTGAGCGCACAAGCTCCGTTGGAAGAATCGCCTGAGCAATATAGTTTACCTGAAGTCGATAATATGAGGGTATGATTACCTCCAGCTCTGATTTGCTGCACTCCTTCGGGTACATCATCGTCGAATAGAACTGGCTTTGGGACTGATACATCCTCTTTGTGGCCGATTCCAAGTTGTCCCGAGCCATTTGAACCGATAGCATATATCGTGGACATTATTAAATACTGAGTTTCTGGTGATGCAAAATATCTGGAGGTAATTTTAACTTTCTCCGACTAATTTAGACTCAATGTCACAAATCGAAGTACTCTAGAACAAGACTTGAAACTTTCATCTGTGAAATGAAACTAGAAGATGATATGGAGGATTAGTTGAGAGATTGATAAGTCTGAAGAATATACCAAGTAAGTCAAGTGTTTGATTAGGAAGTTCTGTTGCTCTCACGGATCGAAGCACCACGTGATATCGGTATGAGCATCGCCTCTGAAATTCCGGAGCTAGTTTTACTAGCTTATTCTTAAGCGAGAAAACTTTCACACATCCAATTTTGCAATAAAGTTTTCGCGATCGCAGTTGATTTTTTCTTTCCGATACGACAACCTCGAAAACCGCCAATCCGCCACGATGTCTGCCACGTAAGAATCTCCCCAAAAACTCCTTCGAAGAGTCAATCGATTGTGTTGGATTCAGATATGGTCGCGTTCCTCTCGAAAGCTGGAACCTGAAAATGGTTTCCAGCTCGAACTGTCCTAAGCTGCTCCCTCGTTGATTCAGGTCCCTGGACTTGCACTTCGAGAGACGCTGTATGGGGTCTTGGGGCTGAAGATGAAAATCTTCTTCCTTAAAATAATTGCCGCTCAAGGATGGAAATTCAATGGTATCTCTAGAGAACCATGAAACATTCAATTATGCTGTGCATATTTCTTGGATTTTTGCCAAGGTTTTGTTGGATGAGAATATTTGTTAACTGAGTCCTGCGATTCTACCTTCGTGGGAAGAAGGGTCGTCGAGACTGGTTCATTTTTCACCGATTAAAGTCATTACAGTCGAGTTTGCCTTTTGCGAGAATGCTGCGCTATAGCTGCAATTCCCTCTCGGCGCTCTTCTCCATACATATGTATGCGGGACACAAGACTAATATTTGATATAGAACCACCCCAACTGCCCAGCAGGTTCTCATCCCTGAGACTCTCTTGAAGAAGCGCAAGAGTCAAGCCAAGGAGAGAGAGGCAAGAGCCGCTGAGACCGAGAAGGTCAAGAAGGTATATTACTACCCAATCCCAATACCACATGGCATGTGTTACTTTACATGATGCATAAACAACCATGTTTGCGACTAGACTTTACGTCGATGTTGTCCAAATTAACCATCTTTCGGGTCTGACAAAAGTTCAACACATGCTAATGGTACTTCAAACTATATATGAACTCGAGACTAACCTTAATCGTCATATAGGCCAACAAGGAGAAGCGTGGTGTCATCTTCAAGCGTGCTGAGAAGTACGTCAAGGAGTACCGTGATGAGGAGCGTGAGAAGATCCGTCTTGCTCGTGTCGCCAAGCAATCTGGTTCTTTCTACATCCCAGCTGAGCCTAAGTTGGTCTTCGTTATCCGTATCAAGGGTATCAACAAGATCGCACCAAAGCCCCGCAAGATCCTCCAGCTCCTCCGTCTCCTTCAAATCAACAACGGTGTCTTTGTTCGCATGACTAAGGCTACCCTCGAGATGCTCAAGGTCGTCGAGCCATGGATCGCCTATGGTTACCCCAACCTCAAGACCGTCCGTGAGCTCGTCTACAAGCGTGGTTACGGAAAGGTCGACAAGCAACGTATTGCCCTTACCGACAACTCCATCATTGAGGCCAACCTCGGCAAGTACGGTATCGTCTGTATGGAAGATCTGATCCACGAGATCTTCACCGTCGGCCCCAACTTCAAGCAAGCTGCCAACTTCCTCTGGCCATTCAAGCTCAGCAACCCAACTGGTGGTTTCCGACCAAGAAAGTTCAACCACTACGTTCTTGGTGGTGACCTCGGTAACCGTGAGGAGAAGATCAACGCTTTGGTCAGACAAATGAACTAAAGCTTGTGATTGGACTGGGGATGTTTTTCTTTGGCTTAGCGTTTACTGGCATGTATGGCGTATAAGAAACCAAAAGAATGATACACTTTTATGAAATAATTGATACCATTTTGATTTTACTGCGAAACAACTCATACTTCTTACTGTCCCTGTGCTATTGTATTTTATGTGTACCTCGCCACCACCATTGCGAGCCATGAATTGTAAAGGATATTTCTCAAGCTGTTTGCTCTTAATTTGTTCCAGTATTGATTTAATTACGTAAGATCATTTGTCTCTGGTGCCTCCCAGATCCTTCTCTCCTTTGCACATTACAAAGTTTCCCATACCTTGCTTATAGTAAAATTTCATAAACATAGTATGTACTGACAACGCATGCAGGACCCTCCCGGAAGCAGTGGGTAAGACCATGTGGAAATAAAAGAATTATTTTCATGATATGCATGCCCTGGTGGTCGCTAATCTGCTGCTTAATACCACGCAGTATCAAACCATGCCATTCACGCCAAACGCAACCCCCAAATCGTATATCGTTTCTAACAACTTACAGTACACTTGTCAATCATCTTCAGCCTCAAAACTTGATGTCGAAGCTTGTTCCGCAACCACAACTGCTAGTCGCGGCCGGGTTGTCAACAATCTTGAACTCGGAACCGATCAACTTGACTTCGTAATCTATTCTGCTACCCTTCAAGGCATCGAGACTGAACACGTCCATGACTACACTAGCGTGGGATTGGTCACTGATATAGCTGAATACTGTATCATCTTCGCGAAGATCCAACGTGGTCGGATTATTTGATTTCGAGGGAGTAGATGACGTAGGCATAGCATTTGGATCTGCAGATGAAGTATTCAGAGCAGGCGAAGATTCTTCTTGGACAGCATCCTTTGAGAAGAGATCTCGGGATATATTGGCGGGAAGGTCGCACAGAGACATCACATATTGGAACCCATGGCAACCGCCTGACTGGACTTCGACTCGAAGAGCAAGATTTGGATTGTTTTCTTTCTTGCGAAGTTGTTGCAAACGCTGTGAGAAAGTTGTTAGCATATCATTCCATCTTAAAATGAGGCACATAAAATAGGAAGGCAATGATACATACATCTGCAGCACGCGGTGTGATTTCAATCTTCTGCTCTGTACCATCATCATTCTTTTGTGGATTGAATGTAGTGATGGTAGCTTTTCGTGTCCTAGTAGTCGAGAAGCATCTCACGGGATTCCTTAGTATCCCATTCTGTTTGAGAGAATATGCCGACTGCAAGGGAGTACCCAAACGTGGAACAAGAAAATCGAAGACTGGACGCGGGGTGTTTTGGTGGAATGACCGGGTTGTTGTGGCGGTCTTTATAAATCCTTGAACTGCCGATGTGGGAATTGTAGAGGTAAGTCCAGCACATCTACGTGTAAGAGATTGGGTCGCCATATTCAACGGGAGCCAAAATCGTAGTATTGGACGAAGGGTAGAAGACGGGAGAAGTTACTGCGTTCGAAAGCTTGTAGGTGCTAGGTTATCATCAAAAGTTACAAACATTGCTCAGCAATAGCGGTCAAGATGGGCACTATTTATTCGACCGCAGTTTTGCCGACTGAACCAGGGAGTCAAATCAGTTGATGACATAAGTCAAACAAAATAATAATACTTTGTACCATCCGATGAACAGAATTTTGTATGTCTAACCAAACTCATGGAAAAATCTTGTATTGTGCTTCTATAGACATATCTCCGAGACATATATTCAAATTCATATTCATATTCGTATCTATGCTAAGTAATGAGTATCCAAATTTTCTCTCCATTGCTATTGTCGGCGCCATCTATAAATAGATTGGAGATAAAGCTCGGTCCATACTCGCATTCATCCTCCAACTTTCATGAATCCGAGGTGCATACAACTTGACATCAAATTGACCCTTATAATATGTGACTGTGATGGTATGATGATTCTAGCTATATATATCAGGTAAGAATATCCTCTAGAATGTAAGTCAATTGTTCAAATCATTCATCTCTCGTTTTTCTCCTTACTTTGTTTCCATAAGATCGTATAACCTATCGTGAGCTCTGCTACACCTTACTACATTTCAAACAACATTTCACTATCCAAACCAATTAGACCGACAGCAGAATGGTCACCATTAATGCTGTTCGGGCTTCGAATGTCGCATTCAAAGCTACAGGCACTCCTGGTATGGTTGCCGTGTTTGCGGGTGCAACATCAGGTATTGGTATGGGTACATTAAAAGCATTCATCAAGTACGCAAATGCTCCCAAGGCGTATATCATTGGACGATCCGAACCAGCTGCAGGGTGTCTACTCAAAGACCTGAAACTTTCAAATCCATCAGCATCACTGAACTTCCTTGAAGGCGAGATCTCTTTAATCAAGGAAGTGGATAGACTTTGCAATGAAATTAAGAGGAAAGAAGAAAAGGTCGATATCGTATTCTTGAGCGCAGGCTATTTGTCCTTCGATGATCGGAATGGTATATTTAGTCATAGCCTCCTTTGAATCTACCACGTATTGACACTGTCTAGAATCATCTGAAGGGATTGACATCCCTCAATCTCTTCGTTATTATTCTCGTCTCCGTTTTGCCTACAACTTGGTTCCTCTTCTGCAAGCCGCTCCCAATTCCCGAGTTATTTCAATCTTAGCGGGGGGCCAAGAAAATCAATTGATCTTGACGATCTCAAAGTAAGGCGAGATTTCAATATGATTAAAGCAGCTAGTAGCGGAACAACTCAAACAACTCTAGCGTTCGAAGAATTGGCGAAGTCTAACTCTCGTATAACTTTCTTTCACAATTCTCCTGGATTTGTGGATACTGGGGCTGTTGGTAGATTGATGTTTTCTACCACGGGTTTTTATGCCATTCCATCAACTTTCTTTAGATGGGTAATGTTGCCTTTTCTCAACTTATTCGCAACGAGTGTGGAGGAAGCGGGAGAAAGAGGATTATTTTTGGCAACTAGTGCGAAGTACCCACCTGCCGAAATAAGAGAGGGGGCTAGTTCGGGCGTGAAGCTACCTGCGGGTGTAGAGATTTCAAGGAGTTTGGCGGTTGATAGACATGGAAGTTCAAATGGAGTTTATAGACTCACGGCGGATGATGAGAGTGCACCTGATGGTGACATCTTGCCGGATTATAGGAAGAACAATGCAGGAAGAGTTGTCTGGGAGAGCACAATGCGTTTTTGGGAGGGAGCTTTGGAGAAGGCATGATGACTCCAGAAAAGGCTGGACTGTCACGCATGGGCCTGTGGATAATCCATCGTTATGATAAATAAACATTTTTTGATTGAATTTTGTCAGCAGGTCAATGAATCTTCCATAAAACACGATTGAAACTCAATGTATGTTTTTCTTGTCCTCTATCTCCGAAATGTTGGATATCGATCTGCATTGTCCAGGCGGCACCAATAAAAATGATTTCGAAATAGTCTTGAGAAATTCTTTCATGTAAAGAAGTAATAGCATCAGGTTCAAAGAACACGCGCAAAATAGCAATACTAATTCCTCTCAACGTTCTACTTCGAATTTGACAATCAAACGATTTCTCTCACTCACATACAATCATCTATTTAAAAAGATTAGCAATACGAAGATAAACAAGCAATATGTTCAAGATGCAGTTTCACTTGACCGACATGTTAAGATTGGAGAATTCCGGCAAGCTCGCACGAATCAAGATCACTTGACCAATTGTCATTCCACTTGTTCATTCGACTCGAGTCGTATACGTATATTGCTGGGAAGGGCCATTGACGATCGGGATATGGTTTGCAGTAATAGAGACTGTGTGCGTAGACTGGACATTGAAATAAAAATTACATCTACCTCTGTAGTCATTACGATCTAATTCTAGCAGACTTTATACTCGTTCAATGGAAAAGATACAAAGTAAATGGATGGCTTGGGGACTGAGGGATTCCAACCTAGCTGATGAAATGGGGAGGGCTGGATATGTGTGAAATACCGAGAGGCAATTAACAATCATTCATCTTCATCAGCAATGTGTTGGACAATCAGTATATTGATATGATTTGAGTACTGCTATATTTCAAGCCGATATTGAAGTAGATAGTTGTCCTCATTGCGAAGACTATTGATTGAGCCCGAAACCTTACGACGAAATTTTCATTCAGAGATTCAAGGTACAAAGCTACTAGGTATGTAAAAAACTTGATTGAGGATCCAGAGCGCCTGAGCTACGGGGACCGCTGAAACTTAATGTCCACGTGCTTCAAACATACTGAAGTGGTGCCATACCTGGCATGTCCGAGAAAAGCTTTGCCTTCAAATTGATCATTACCAATGATCAATACTGAGCAATGTTAAGAATAGTATAGCAATATCAAAATACTTGTAGCACGTTTTCTCCATCTACATTACTCTCGAGGAACTAGTGTAACATGCAGCAAACATGGATCTGTAAGCCCAACCCCTAGTATTTTATAAATATCTTACCGTGTTGTAAAGACTTAGATGATCAAAATACTACAATCAACTCGAATAAATTGACAAACACATGCACAGTTTCTGCATCCGTATTGGGCGGCGTGAGCAGTCTACCCACGTGCAGGTGCAAGAGCCGTCTGGTACTTTTTCTCCTTACCAGCGCATATTCGCCTTGCGAGATAACTTATTCCTTGGCTCAGTGGTGCGATTATGCATGTGTCCTATTGAATATTCTCCTATTTTCCTTTTATCCATAGGGTAGTGGCCATGCTCTGTAGTACAGATTGCCCAGAACTCTTGGCGAAGATGTTGTACGACGAGTGTCGGCCTTGGACAATATAAAATCTTGAATATGATGAATGGTCGTAAAGAAAACAGGCAATGGTGTGAACGTGAAGGTTAGAATTGACTGGACTTTATTCAGAGCTTCGTATTAAAGGTGCAAGAGACCAATTGAAACTCTGTTCACCATGCTTGATGCACATCGAAATGATACAGTGAACAACACTAAATCTGTGACTGCGAAGTCAGTGAACTTGACAGAAGCTTCAGCAACATTTGTATAGTTGAGATTATGATCATCAAGTCGGACTGAAATCGAGAATGGGCCCCGCATCACTGCATAACGTGGGACAAGAGCATTTAGATAACTTAAAGTTTATAAATAAGTGCACTTGACACACGAAGGTAAAGATTTTGATCGGCTTGATTGCCATTGCGATGACATCCTATCTCTTCAGGTGGTCATTTCTAATTCCCGTGTGCCATCAGCAGATACTTCTCCAAGCTTTGCCTTCCAAGCTATATCCATTGCTTCTTTGAATGCCTCCACAAACTTCCATACATCCTCGAAGCTGTTGTATAAAGGGGCCGGCGCCACTCTTATCACATTTGGTTGTCTTTCATCTACGACCACTCCTCTCAACTCTAGCTCTTTCATGACCACATTCAACAATCCATCAGCAAGTTGGAGACTCAGCTGAGCACCCCTCTGCTCTCTATCCCGAGGTGTAACGATCGAGAACCTACTCTTTTCGAAGATCGCTGTATCTAAAAGCATATCCTCCAAATAGGCAGTCAGCTCCACAGATTTCGCCCTCAACATCTCCATTCCACCGGCAAGTTTGAATATCTCCAGAGATGCATTTAGACTCGTGATGTCCAGCACACTTGGATTACTCAATTGAAACCCCGCAGCGCCCGCTATCGGTACGAATCGATTCTCCATGGCGAATCTCGTATTCTTGTCATTGCCCCACCAGCCACTTAATCTATTTACAAAACCTGCCCCCCCATCTGTATTCTGTGACGAAGCAGACACTTGAGTGTTCCTTTCATGAATGAACATTCCACCGATGCAACCCGGTCCTGAGTTTAAATATTTGTAAGTGCACCAGGCAGCTGCATCGACGTCCCAATCGTGAAGGTAAAGTGGAACATTTCCAACTGCATGAGCGAGATCCCAAATGACAAATATGCCGAGATCTCGAGCCCTGCGTGTGATGAGGGGTATGTCAAATAACTGGCCTGTATAGAACTGAATACCTGGGAGTATCAAGATCGCTGTATCTTTAGCATGGGTTTCAATGGCTTTGAGTATGTAATCTGTGGAGAGTGTGGATTCAGTAATTGAACGAGACTCCAGGGTGATCATCGATGTAGCAGGTGAGAGGTTGTGATGCCGGATCTGCGACTCTACGGCGTACTGTATGTAATTTAGCCGGCATAAACGATTGGTGACGAGCGCAAAAGGGGCAACCCACGTGATCTGATGGAAATGCCTTGCTTTCCAATATGATTTTGTGCCTACCATTAACATCAGGATTGTAGAATGCGGACATGAGAAGGTGTAAATTGGCAGTCAAAGTCTGCATTACATTGACCTCCGAAGGTTCCGCACCAACAATAGGAGCAATGTTCTCCGAAGCACTTGAATCTACATGTAGCCATGTTGGCAAAGGCGAATCGGAAAGGGGTTTGAAATGACCAAATACACCTTGAGTTGCCCAAGTCTTGAGATATTGTTCTATGCGAGTAGAGGTAGTACGCGGCTGTAGGCCAAGAGAGTTTCCACAAAGGTAAACACAGGGATCGCCAGGAGAGGAAGTTCGAGACTCTAAGATGCCATTTAGTTAACAGAGTCAACTACCTAGAGTAGAATCTCGTACCTAAACTTGACAAAGTCCTGGCTTGCAAATCAGCCGTAGAAGGAATGAGGAATTCATCTCTGATCTGACGAAGAGGATCCTGAGCATCTTGGGACACAGCATATTCTCTGCTGTTCATGTGCTGATCTCGTTGTCCGTGCTGATCCTGTTGCTCATGACCAATTTGATTCTCTGGGGAAGCCATGAGACAAAGAGAAACGTAATGTAATTTGAATATGCGGGTTAACTGCACTATTACCCAACGATGGAAAGGTTGCGTTAACCTAGCGGTGTAGCATAGAACACTGTGGAGTACTATATGAAGAAATTTGGGATTCAAATTGCGTGCCGTGAAGAGCCTAGGGTGAGTTTCAAACACGGTGAATCGGCGCTTATTGAATCAAGAGTCTCTTTTAGCGGCAGGTGACACAATCTGGGGTAAGAGAAACTAACACGGTCCTTGGGAAGCTGGGAAAGTATGAGACTCAATGGTGGAATATTGTCTTATTGACCTTGTTTGAACCTTTGGACCCAAGTAATGGCATGGACCGATGTGTAATGAAAAATGCAAACTCTTAGTCATGAGATTCTATTAAATTCTCAATATACAATCCAGACTCCGAATGACGACAGGTGTTAAGGGATGAGGAAATGCGTTTGTCACAGTCAGGAGACGAATGGGCGAAAAATGAAGTTCTATTGGATGTAGGAGATGAAGTTTGAGTAAGGTTGACGTTGGAGTATGATTTCCTGGGGGTAAGAGAAATCAATTTGGGGAATAGTAAATGGCGGGGTTGACGAAAGAAACTTCTAAGCTAAATTGAAAAAGGGAAAGCGTGATTTGGAAGAAAAGAATGGGGAATTATGGAGAACAATGGCAAATCATGGAGAAATGAATGGGAAAATCTTGATTGATTGAAACTTGCCATATGGAGAGCACTACTGTCCCCATTGCTCTCTCTCACCAATTACATCTTGACTTGTTGATTCGCTTAGGTCATGAATTTGCACGGCGTTCGTTGTCCTTTCTCGTTTGCGTGATTGATTGTTGTTGTTGTTGTTGTTGTTGTTGTTGTTGTTATATGAGTCTCACTATTACTTATTTTAATATGGTTCGATCTAATCGAATATCTTCTGGTTTGAGATATCCCGGTCAACTCTATGGCTTTTTTGCCAAATTTGGAGGTCTGATGGTCATGAGAACGAATATCACGGGATCCGTGAGGGAATTAGTCATTTCGGCTTCGTGTTTTGGAGATCCGCGATGCGAGACTGGGGAAATGACAAAATCTAGACAGCGAATTTGTGGATTGTGGTGGATAGAGAATGCGGACTTTGTTCATTCTTCGTGGGCCTTTGTTTTAGGCTTCAAGGGCTTCTTCTTGTTGTTGCTGTTGTTGTTAGAGGAGTATCTCGAGTATGTGGTTAGGGTAGTCCGAGTGTTGAGAGTAGATTTTGGTTCATGCAACTAAATGTGAATGATGACTCGTGCGAGAGAATAACCTACTTGGGTAACGTCTCAATATGAATAATCTACTGCGTATGGCATCTTATTTCTTTTGGCCTTGCGAAAGAACGCTGTCGTGGAGACGGAGTATTTGGAGATATTGTCAATAGGTGGACTTTCCGAATGCTTCTCTGTGTCCTTTCCTTTCCTTTTCCTTCCTAAAAGTATCCTCTGTATAGAGATTGTACGACATGGACATGCACCAAGCATACTATAAAATATCAGGGTACAGCATATCCTTGGCTTGAGAAACCATTCGTGGCTGGGCAAACTGGGGCTTATACGGACGGACCGGTATTGAGCATTGGAGCATTCAACCAAAAATAGATTCCAAAATTGCCTCAGATCTTCCTTTTGATTACTTGGGACGCAGTTACTTTTACGAAATCGGCTTCAATGAATTCGAGGCTACCCAAGCAGCAATATCATTTTTCAGTACCCTACGGAGGATGCATTCATTCTCCACCCTTTCCAGCATGTCCTAGGGAGATAACTTCATGGGGAAAGGGATTAGACCTTACTCCTTACTTTCGAAAGAGAAGGAGATGTTGACAACTAATCCTCTTTAGGAAGATCAAGTGATAAGAATAGCCATTCTTCTGGAAGAGATATGGAACATGGAAGATTAAAAGACCCAACGGAAACATACTTTGTACCTCGTAGTCCGTAGTTCGTAGTTCGTAGTGGATAATTCGGATAACGGACGTCTGTCTACGTTTGGACCGTACACAAGCCACGCACGCTGCCACCGCACTGGAGACTGGAGTTTTGATGAATTCCATATCGACTGGCACGTACCTAGGTCCACCAGTCCGCCGTGTAGGGATGCAATATACCTCAACACGGTTAATGAGTAAAGTCAATTAATAAATCATCCTACGCTGCTATCTATCTATGTATCTACGATATGTATGTATTTGTCTATCAGCTCACAGGGTTCAGCACAGGGTTGCAATATCTAAGATGTGCCTCGAATAACCGCTTACCGACCAGCCAAAGCAGCACGACCAGCAAAAAATGGATATCCGCTCACCCACTCGAGCCACTTACCCATTAATTGGGGAAGGAGACAGGGAGAACAGACGCTAAGGAGCGGTAAACATCAACTGTACCTTACACCTTACTAGATCGTCAGGTACCACCAACGAAATTCCCGTCCGAACAACACGAGCGACTAGCCACTAGGTAGGCAATCGTTGCATTGGAACCTGACCTGAACATATGTCAAACCATACCGAAAGAATCCAGAAGAGGGCAAATCAAAGCAATCGACCACTGCATGAGGCAAGAGGCAAGAGGCATGGGGCATGAGGCATGAGGCATGAGAGGTGTGAGAGGAGAGGTATGAGGGGAAAAGAGTGAGAGAAAAAAATATCGACCCAAAATTAAAGCCCTCATTTTTTGAAACTTTTTTATTACTCAATTGAGACTTTTGAGTTTGACGTAGGGAACCTTGGAAAGTAGGAGATGTATCATTTATTATAAATTGATTCACTTGCTGCTGCCACTTTGTCGTTTGGAACCTTGAAAGGGCGAGCATATCAAGATCGATATCAATATCAACCTCATTCATCCTTTACTTTTTTACTCCCTTCATCCAGATATAAATAACCAGAGCATTCCAGCTCTTTCTCATCTTATCTCGAACTCTGACTCAGATTGTTCCTTTCTTTTTCCTCTGCCCTCTGCCTTTCTCTTCTTATCTTTGAAACAAGCAACAACAATCGTATTGTGTCTGCATATATCACTCAATACGAGGAATGCAAGACGCAAAGAAGCATTTTCAATCTATATCCTATTCTTAGTTCTTCACTGTCACCGCTCCTCCCTCCCCCCTCTCTCTCCCTCCCAACCATCTACCTGTCATATTGTCTGTGGTTGAGCAAAAGATAAGACTATATTCACCCCCTGGAATACACCCAGCATTCGTCGTCTTTTGGATTGTCAGCCCTGCTTAGTACGTATCTGAAGTCCCGCTATGGTGTTCAACATCCCCTCTAATTTGATCAAATAGGCTTACGGTGACGTGACGATACGTATCGAAAAAAAAAAGTCTTTATTCATTCAATACTTTGCAACACGCAATTCGCCATACGGCTTCTAGATCGCCCAATAAAATTTGTATCCACCTCTTGAGCCGCCTTCGAATTCACTAAATCTTTTGAAACCAACCGTTCCTAACCGGGAGCCTTCCATACATTTGACGACACTTCGTGGTTCCAGTAACTTTTAAATCGAACACAACTACCACACCACCCACCACTTACCAACTTACATCTCTTGTAAACTACACATCTTTGAAAAAGTACAAACTACCACCACACCTTTTTCGCACATAATTGGTACTGGTGTATGTGATACAACTTTATCTCTCAGGTACGTTTTTAATCCGTGGCGCAGATCTTCCATTCCTTTTTCTGAAAGCCCACATAAATTTCCTTATCGCTTCCTATCAAAATAAACGCCTCCATTGCCCTAGGAAACATAGGCTTGGCGCTGTCAGGTTCCCTTTTTACGAACTTGAAGATTGAATAAGTCCAAATTTCTATCTCAAACAACCGCCCTCGGACTATTCTGAGATCAAGGTTGCTCTTGAAGCGGAATCGACTGATAAGCATCCTTCCCTAGCAATGCAGGCAATGCAAGTAATGCTAAGAAATGAAGCGGTCAAGGAATCCAGGAGTTGCATTGTCAACATGATTCCTAACTCCTTTTCCATTCATTAATTGGCCCTTTCTTACCGGCTTGCCGATATAGATAGGCGTTGATGACCTGCTGCACTTTTGAATCTATCTTCACTTATTTTTCCCTTTTATTCACACATCTCGTGCAAGTCATCTAGCGGGCGGTGTTTTTCTCTACATCACAACCACTAGTCACAATGGCTACGGTTCTTTCCCCCATCAATACTGACTCAATGGGTGCTCTTCAGCAGTTTCCCGCATACGACGAACAGTTCTTTCTTTCCACAGAAGAAAACATGGCTACTATCAGTAGTTCAACACCTCGTTCTCCCCATAAGTTGGTGGAGCAGATCATCCGAACTCCTGGTCGACAACCTTCACCACAACCAACACATTTCAATATCCCACACAGAAATGGCAATGGAAATGGACACCGCGTCTTGCGTTCCGCCACTGTTGGATATGTTGCTCCAGAATTCGCGGGTAGGACAGAACAGATGGTTAAAGGTAAGTCAACTCTGGCCGTGATGAATGTACAACTCTAATTCCCTGAAGTGAGAGAGCAGATCAGGGCAATGAAATGGATACCGGCTGAACTCATTGACGCACAATTGGAATGGTTCTATAATGAGCTTGGGATCGACGATGTCTACTTTCAGACCGAGAGCGTTGAAGCCGTCGTCAGCAATATAACCTCGCTTTATGCTGCAAAGGTTGCTGCATTTGCTCGCGAAGACAAACGTCAAGAGATCAGATTGGACATGGAGTCTTCAGATCATGCCATATACATTGATACTAGCGAGCCCGGTGTGAGTGCAATTGGTGGCCCACGATACGAGCACAGATTAGAGGCCAAGTATTTGGATACATCCTCGAATCAACTCTTCCGGGTTGAGAGCTTCCGTTCCACAAGCAACTTGTACAGTGGCTCCGCCCCAACAAAGTCATCGATACGCTGTTACTTCGTCTATCAGTGCCAATTCGTTGACTCTAACCCATCACCCAGCGAAACTCGCCTAGAAGTCATCAGTGACAGAATGTTTCTAGCAAAATCTACCAACAACACGAAGCAGATCTATCAAGAGATCATTGAGCTTGCTGTCTCTCGTACCGGGCCAGTCATCGAGGTCTTTGATATTGAGGACTCGATTGAGAAGAGGTTGGTCGTAGCTTTCAGACGCAGAACAGCCCTCGGTTTGTTCAGTGCTCTGAGTGACCTGTATCACTCATACGGAGTAACAAGCTCAAGAAAATATGTTGAGCAGTTCAGCAACGGTATCACTGTCATGAGTCTTTATCTCAAGCCTGCAAGCGACTTGACAACAAAATTCCCTACCCTTGAACAGTCTATCCATCAAATCACCAAGGAGATTTCCCTACTTTACTGCATACCACAGAACAAATTTCAGGCATTGTTTGCTAGTGGACGCTTAAGTCTTCAGGAAACAATCTATGGTCATTGTGTTTGGGTCTTCGTTCAGCACTTTCTCAATCGCTTGGGCTCTGAGTACTCTTCATTAGTATCTGCATTGGATCCAAACAACAGCTCCCATGCCGAGATTCTATCTACCATTAAGCGCAGACTGCGCACCGAGACTTTCACTGCGGATTACATTCTCGAGATCATCAGCAATCATCCGGAGCTTGTCCGTTCACTATACGCTTCGTTCGCAAACACACATCTTACCCTCGGCCCTGGATACAGTGAGGACTCCATTCCACCTTCACCATCTGGGGACGTTCTCAACGATAAGGAACTCAAAGAGCTGATCTCGAGGACTGTCAACAATGAACACGAAGACATGGTCATGACTGCGTTCCGTATCTTCAACAACTCCTTGCTGAAAACCAACTTTTACACTCCTACGAAAGTTGCTTTGAGCTTCCGTCTCGATCCCTCATTCCTTCCTGAGATCGAGTATCCTCAGCCATTGTATGGCATGTTCTTGGTTATTACATCCGAATCACGTGGGTTCCACCTTAGATTCAGGGACATTGCTAGAGGTGGCATTCGAATTGTTAAATCTCGAAATCGTGAAGCATACTCCATCAATGCTCGTTCAATGTTTGATGAGAATTACGGTCTAGCCAATACTCAACAACGCAAGAACAAGGATATTCCGGAGGGTGGATCCAAGGGTGTCATTCTTTTAGATGCCAATCAGCAAGACAAAGCCAGTGTAGCTTTCGAGAAGTATATTGATAGTATCATGGATCTTCTCTTACCGCCTTCGTCCCCTGGTATCAAGAATCCCATCGTTGATCTATATGGCAAGGAAGAAATTCTTTTCATGGGTCCCGATGAAAATACTGCTGATCTTGTTGACTGGGCTACTGAGCACGCGCGCAAGCGAAATGCTCCATGGTGGAAATCTTTTTTCACCGGAAAGTCACCCAAGTTAGGCGGTATCCCTCATGATAGTTACGGCATGACATCATTGTCGGTCAGAGAATACGTCAAAGGCATCTATCGAAAACTGGAACTGGACCCTAGTAAAGTTCGAAAAATGCAGACGGGTGGCCCAGATGGTGACCTGGGAAGCAATGAAATCTTGTTGAGCAACGAAACTTACACGTCGATTGTCGACGGCAGTGGTGTTTTGGTTGATCCACAGGGTCTCGACATTGATGAGCTCAAACGCTTAGCTACGAAGCGTGCTATGATCTCGGAGTACGATCTCTCGAAATTGTCAAACGAGGGCTATCGTGTTCTTGTCGACGAAACAAACGTCACCCTACCCAATGGGGATAAAATCAGTAATGGTACAACTTTCCGGAACACATTCCATCTCCGTGACACTGGCATCACTGATGCCTTCGTTCCCTGCGGTGGTCGTCCAGCGGCCGTCGACCTTTCCAGTGTCAACAAGCTTATCAAAGATGGAAAATCGACCATCCCATACATCGTCGAAGGTGCCAATCTTTTCATTACCCAGGATGCAAAGCTACGATTGGAAGAGGCAGGATGTATCCTATTCAAGGATGCTTCTGCGAACAAGGGTGGTGTGACATCATCATCTCTGGAAGTCCTTGCATCCTTGAGTTTTGATGACGAGAGTTTTGTAGAAAACATGTGTGTGGGAAGCAACGGCCAGGCTCCGGAATTCTACAAACAATATGTTAAAGAAGTTCAGGAGACTATAAAGATGAACGCCGAGCTTGAATTCGAAGCCATCTGGCGAGAACATGAACAGACCGGAATCCCTCGAAGCACCTTGAGTGACACAATCAGTGTTGCTATTACTAAACTTGACGAGGAGCTTCAAACATCTGATCTGTGGAGAGATGCGAAATTGAGGAAATCAGTGTTGCTTGATGCCCTGCCGCAGTTGCTATTGTCTAAGATCGGCCTCGACACGATAATGGAGAGAGTAAGTTGATCTGACCAGATTGCTAGAATCACCCAGCTAACATAAATAGGTGCCTGACAACTACCTCCGTGCCATCTTCGGTAGTTATCTTGCCAGTCGGTTCGTCTACGAAGTCGGCAGCTCACCTGGTCAATTTGCTTTCTTTGACTTCATGTCCAAGAGATTGGCCAATGTCCGACCCAGGTCTCCCTCTTTGTAAGGATCGCAAAATCAGTCTGGTTGTTATTGGAGTTTTGTTGTGGGAAGGAGTTATTAAGGGACTGTGGGGTGGGGACTCTGGTTAATGCATAGAACAGGCCTAAACAGGCATACATTGACAGGATGCAGAAGCTAGCATCGCACTCTTTGATTTAAGTTTTTTTTTTTGGCATTACAGGAGTTTGAGTGGTAATGACTGAATGGAAATTTGGGAAGGGTAGTACAATCAGAAATGACTTTCATTTTTCCGTTTGTTGATGGCTGCAGGTGCAGTCATGCCTATCAGTGGGCAAACAACTATAAAGTAGAAGTAAAAGGAAAAGCATCTTTCTGTCTCTTTTAGACCCTTGTGTATAGAGTTGGATATGTATAATCAATGATATTTATATTACTCTCCTTGATTTTTCCTTTGTTCGTTGTTAGAATAGATCATGGAATACTTACTCAGATGTATATTACTGGGTACTTTTAAACATAAAATTATACTAATCTTCATACACTGCAGGAGATTATGACTTGAATAGATAGTAGCAGGTACTAGAGAGGACCTGGAGTGATCAGACTTCTATCAATAGTCGGCTCTTGTAAGCGGCTTCCTAGTACTCAGTCGGGGAAAGCGACTGTCCTCTTACTTTTTTTAATAGGTATCTCATTCAATTCCCAGAATGACTTCATAGTATTTCAATAATGTTGAGTTCATGAATTCATGATTTCACTGAATTAGATAATATAATTTGTTCTTGAATTTTTTTTGAACAGGGGCAACCGCTTTCCTCTAGTGAATATCAGAAGGCCGCTTATAACAGTCGACTGATAGCTCCTTATGAGTTCATTTACTCGTTCTATTAGGGTTTTTAATCGACTTAGATCTAAATAGACATAAAAAAAACTACTAATAATTAAATTAGCTGTAATATATCATACGGACATTTTCATTGAAAGCGATTTTAGCTGATAATAATTGGATTATTCACATTGCTCAATTGTTAGATCTATAACCACAAGTTATGTTTTAAATGCAGATTTTGATTTAATGTACAATAATCTAAACGCCATCAGAAAAAAGAAGAATATTGATTTCGATTTTAAGAGAGAAGCCTGTTTGAACCATTAAACTTTTATTTAAGGAAATTAGAAATTAAAAAACGAAAAAGATTGATTTTTTTCAGTTTGATATAGGAATTCTGGTTGGAATTAGAATATAGTATTTCATATTATAATAGTACTAGTCATTCGAAAAAAAGGATCTAAGTCAACGAATTTGTAGGACTGTTAAATTATTATAACAATTGAAAAGAAAAAAGAGATTTCATGAATCTAAAAACCAAAAATTATTCTTTCAAACGACTAGTCTATCAAAACGTTAATACAATAAAATCGGGTTTCCAAATTGATATTATATTGACTATTTAGTTTCAGTCAAAAATGAATACCTAAAGTCATTTATTAAAAACATGTCAATATAAACATTTAAATTTATTCTCACTTGTGTTTATATTTATAATAAGAATATTTACAAATTTATTATTATTTAAAGGTTCTATATATTGAATTAGAAAGCTAATATAATGTATACATTTCGCTTTAATGATTTAAAATCAGTTATAATTGAAGAAATGTATTATGGTAATCTTGATTCGATTATTTTTCAATAAATAGTCAATTTACAATAAAAAATGTTACTCGATATCATATTTCAAATCAAAATATTAAGATTTCTTTTTGTTTCTTGAGAGAAAATCTTCTTTAACAACTAAATTCAATCAAAGCAATTATTTGAATATTTGTTATAAGGAGATGATATATTTGATTATATCAGAGATGATACTAATGGAATGAACTTCTTTTGTTGAATTAATCGATTTTTATGGAAATTTGTAATTTAAACCTTTCTTAACAAAATAAATATCGTTCATAATTATTCAAAAAATAAAAATCGGAATATTGGATTTATAATAATTATGACTGTATATTTGTAAACCTTCTATTAAATCGGAAACTATAAAACTGCAATAAATCATGAGTGATAGATTTATGAATGTTGATCAAAATTTCTTTCAAAATTAGACTTATTCCAAATAAAAAAACCATAAAATAGGATTGTAAAGAAAGAAGCAAGGCTTTGAGTAAAGAATGTATATCAGTGATATGAGCTTATAATATAAACTTTTAATATCGACTTATACTCAGCGAAATAGCAAAAGATACATCGTATATATTAAAAGTAAATACAATTTCCACAAATTCCGATTGAATTCTATGACTTGGAATTATCATTTATTGAAATGATTTGTATATATTTCAAGATATTTATGAAAATTGAGTAAAAACCTGAAGATAAATGTCATATTAAAGTTAATGAGTTAATAAGAAAAGGTACGATTTGAAAATATATTTAAAATTTTATATATTGACCATAGAAATGACGTATCATGAAAGGAAACACTTTTTATCTCCCTTATCTTTCAATTGTATATTTTAATAATCTACTTATAATTAAAAAAAAAACTTTTATATATAATAGAATCTGATTTTGAAACATCTGAGTTATTGAAAATTGAAACCAAAAAAGGTAATCTAAATATTTAAAATTTTATGCTTGAAATCTCTAGAAGTGAATTTACTTTTTCAAAATTAATGATTTTTGATGAATTTTCATTTGAAATTCAGATAAGTTCTACAAAATTTGAGAAACTTCAATAGAAACTTTATTATATAGAAAACATTATAGTATCAAACGATATATCAGATTTTTGTTATTAAAATGCTCCAATTAAATAAATCAATGAAAATGGAAAAATAATAGAAAATAAGCACTTTTCAATTCAACTTCAATTCATTCGATTTCTTAACATATTACAAGTATTATAATAATTCATGGGATCGATCAATGACAGTTTATTTAATATAAATTCATAAAAGTCATAGTCAATTTTGATATATACTATGCATCTTCGATTGTTTTGCCGAGCAAAATGAATTAACAATATGGATTACCTATATGGATTCAGGAGCTCTCAATAGTATTGGATTTGATATGAACAAACATTATTAAGTCAGAGTTCAATCAATGAAATATTTGAAACAAAAATTCAAAGTATATTGAAAAACATATTCTGATATATTTTGATTGATTGAAATGTGTGATGTCTTTTAGATTTTTAGATTTTTAGATTTTTAGATTTTTAGATTTTTAGATTTTTAGATTTTTAGATTTTTAGATTTTTAGATTTTTAGATTTTTAGATTTTTAGATTTTTAGATTTTTAGATTTTTAGATTTTTAGATTTTTAGATTTTTAGATTTTTAGATTTTTAGATTTTTAGATTTTTAGATTTTTAGATTTTTAGATTTTTAGATTTTTAGATTTTTAGATTTTGAAAGATTTGTTGCAAAAAGACAGATCGAACATATATAAACAACCGTATAGTTTGTAAAGATGAAAATAGTTTCCAATATATGAATATACTATGAATAAATTCTCAAACTTGAAATTTTATATTTTAATTCTTTTGATGAAAGTTCAAGGTGTTGGAATATCTTAATCAAAATCACATTCTATGTTCAAATAATTCAAATAAAATTGCATGAAGATGGAAAAAGTACCATATAATAATATACAAATTTTAGAAAAGGTAATGATGTAAGATACTTGATTTTCATCAGTTTTGAAATTGTAAGAGAATATAGAGAATTATGTAAGGTAACTGTTTTGTACTCAATATGTATACTTTCATGGAAATTATTACTTTCCATAACTAAAGTTGACTTGTTGAATATTATAACTAATCTATTACAAAATATATCAAGGAGATTTCGTCAGAGAACAATGAATGCTAATTTATGCATTTCAAAACGTTATTCGAAAATAAACAGTAATCCATCACCCTCAGTAATAATATCACTTATGAATACCTTACCAAGTATTAGAAAATTCATTACAAGAGTCCTTTAAGAAGTATAAGAATATATCAAACTATAAATATAATCATTATAATGTTTATTTTCACATGCAAAGATTAATTGATATTTTAAACGATCACTTGTTTGTTGCCTGAGGTAAAATTAGTGGTATTGAGATATTATGAAAAACTAAATATGTGTTTGAAAACATATAAATAAAACATATAATAATCAGTATTTATAAGTAAAAGCCAATTCAAGTTAGATATTAAGGTATACGGGTACTTGCTCTCATACCATTACAGGTCTAAAATACTTATAAATGTTATGTTCAACTCACTTCTATACCATTTATATTTTGACATTTTATAATTAGAATCTATATATGAAATTTGGAATTGTAAGTATAGAATTTACGATGAGGAGTTACCCAGAATCTGAAATGAAAAGCTAGAATCTAATTTATTTAATTGAGATTTGAGCTTCTAAATAAAAAATTTAATTGTTGAACATAACTACCAAATTTATAATACACATTTCAGCTTTTGAATTTTATGAATTCTAACTCTCAAAGTTATGGACTCTGATTTAAAAACTATGGAATTCATTTATTATATAACGTAAGTGTATAGAAGTAGATTTAGATTAATCTTAGTAGTATGAGAGTAGATAGTTTCATTTTTGGTGGTATTAGGGTAATTTACTGATAATTAAAGAGCAAAAGATTTTTATCATATTATTATATATTATTCGAGTAAATTATCAAATATATAGAATCTTGATCAAGAGAAGGAGAAAATGAAGCATTCTTAATATTAATAGATATCAATATAGACTTGTGTAATTCTAAAGAATTGAGTTAATATTCTCAATAACTATAGTAGGAATCAGAGATGATTAAGTTTTCTTTTAATGAAGATTCTGAAAGAAAATTAAATTAAATTAAATATATAGACCAAACCAGATATTAACGTGATTTTAAATAATTATATGTATTCTGAGCATGGGGTTTTGATCAAATGAGATTTGATATTGTATCAAAATAAATCATTATATTTAATTTTAATTGTATCAATTGATATTGTAAAGAGATTCATATTAATGAGAGAATAAGACATTTAACAGTTTTTCTATTTCATGGAATATATCATTAAAAGTTCAGTAAATGCAGAGGCAGTTTTATTATCATTATATTATTCAGAGTTATTTTTATGCTATCTATTAAGGTAGAAATATTAATATCGAGATATTTAAAACTCCAATATAAAGACAGATGATATCATAAATGAACCTTGTCGAGTATAATATATAATAGTCCAAAGAGAAGGGTATCTTAAGAAAGTATATATTCATTCTATATTAAAAATATAAATATTCTAATTCTACAATCACTTTTAAATAAGATGATTGACAAAAAAATGAATCTATCAATGTTATAACAAGGAGAAATCAATTTCGTTTAATTGTTCTTTTTGACAATCATTATTCTGGAAGTATGTTATAATCATCTTGATTTTTTATAGAAAGCAGTATCTTCATTATAAAAATATAAAAATTGTTAGCTTTAT